TGAAGCCTGCCTCCAGCAATTTTTTGACCTCGGCTGCGATGTCTCGGTTCTTATTAGCGGAGTAATTCCGCTTCTTTTGCTTAATTGGTCGACACGTTGGGTCAACATTAAGCTTATGGGAGATGAGGTCTGGACTTATCCCGGGCATATCAGCTGCCGAGAAAGCAAACACATCTCTGTTGTCCCGAAGGAGCTGAATAAGTTCACAACGGGTGTTCGGATCAAGGTCCATCCCGATTGTTACACATTTCTCAACGCCTCCTTCGGCCAACTCAACTGTTTCAGTCTGTTGGTCCATGTCCATTGCTGATGGACTGGACTCTTCAGAATCTGGCCTGCTGCCTATGTCAGCAGGTGTCCCAGTCTTTTTGTTCTTCGGCTGACTCTCTGAGTCTTGCTGTTCAGCTGAAGAACTAGCCTTTTCCCTTTCGGGCCCTTTACCTCTGGGTACAGATCCTTGGCCGAAGCACTTAGGCCTTTCGGCTTTTTTGTGCTTGGCTCCCTTTCTTTTTCTTTCTCCTCCTCATCCTTGTCGCCATCTGGGCGACTACTGGATGGCTTGAGGTAGTTGCACCTTCGGGCGTCCTTTTGGTTGCCCTGTATCCTTTCGGGGAAGCCAGCGTCTGAGACGTAAATCATCAGCTGATGATAAGTTGAGACGACCCCTTGGATCTCATGAATTATGGGTCTCCCCAAAATCACGTTGTACACTGAAGGAGCGTCAATGACCAAAAATTCAATCATGACGTTCCTGGCTGCCTCATCGCAGCCGATGGTGATAGGAAGTCTCACCTTCCCATCTGGATAAGTTGAAGCCCCGTTGAACCCGGATACCGGGTAGGGTACCGGCGTAAGGTGCTTGGGCTTCAGCTTGATTTGATTGTAGGCCTTTCGGAACAGAATGTTTGCTCCGTTGCCACCGTCAACAAGGACCTTACTGACGTCGTGGTTGGCCACCGTGGCGATGATCACCAACGGATCCTCGTGAGGGAACGTTATCCCCCGGCAGTCGGCGGCTGTGAACGTCATGTTCGGCACCGGCGATTGGGGAGACTGAATGTCAGCGTTGTTCACCTGGTGAGTCAAAGCCCTAAGGTGTCGCTTGTGCTCCCTACGAGAGCATATTCCTCCCGAGATAACATTGATCGGAGAGAATTTCCCCTCCGGCTTTTTACTGTTCTTCCGGGGGAAGTCGAGGTCTTGCCGAGAGTCCTTTGCTGACTTCTCGGACTCTTTTTTTTCGCGGTGATCCGCGATGTATTTTTTCAAGTATCCCTTCCGGACCATGTCCTCTATCTGGTCCTTCAGTTTGATACACTCCTCAGTGTTGTGTCCCGGAGATTCGTGGAACTCGCACCACTGATTTTTATTTTTTCGCTGATACCACTCAAGGAGTGGTCTCGGCTTTTGGTAACTCTGCTCCTCCTTCGTCACGCTGTAAATTTTGGCGCGTGGAAGAGAGAGCGGAGTGTAGGACTCGTATCTGCCTGTGTATGAGGCAGATTTTTCCTTCTTTGGGTCGCTGGCCGAAGATTGCTCCGAGGCCTTTGACTTTCCCTTTGCCTTATGGCCTTGGCCTTCAGACAAGGGTATTTGTCTTTGTTTCCCTCCCCCGAATTGAGGTTGGGTTTTCGCTTTGTTCCATTCTTCGGCTTGGATGAACTTATCCGAGGCATTCAGAGCTTCCTCCAAGGTCTGCGGGGTATGCATGACCATGAAGTCTAGGAACTTCCCGGGCTGAAGGCCATTCTGCATTGCAAAAACGGCTAGCCCCTGGTCCTTGCCCTTGTTCCTGGCCGAAGGGACCACGCTCCGCCCTCTTAGAGAGGTAGGAGTGGTTTTCGTCCCTGGCTGGGAAGTCTGGGCCTCGGCCGCAGGGAACGAGAGGCGACTGTGCACGCTCGGTTCCTTGCCGCCGAGTCGGTCGAGGACGCTTCGGCGAACAGTCTCAGGTTGTTCTCTCGGTGAGTAGATTCTGGCCGAGAAGCTGAGCTGCTGCTCTTATGCGTTTCTGGTCGGGAGGATGAGGATCCTTTGAAAAATTGAGGGTTCTTTTTCCTCTCTTTTTCAGTTTTCCAGGTATCCTCTTCCCACTCTCCCAGTTCCCGGGAGGAAGGAAGCTTCCCACCATCACGGTCTAGCTTCCTCCGTTGACGCCGGGTATGCGGAGGAGTTCGATCACGAGGTGGTGGCATATTTTGTGCCCTCATTGTCTCCATGAGCACTGCCAGCGCTCTTGCCACCTCCTCCGAGCTGGGCCCCGCCAAAGGGGTCCTCGGCCGAGTATGGGAATGAGAGCGCACAGTTGATGGTTGGCTTTGGGGCACTGAATGTGTCATATGATCGGACTCACCCCTGCTAGACCGAGAGTGACTCGGCCTATGATGAGAGTTATGAATTACGGGAGAAAGGGAATCCTCCCTGTATAATCCTCCCCCCGAGCTAGCACCCTTGGGAGAGTTCCGGTCCGGCGAGGGTGATGGTGTAGGGGTTTTAGGCTTTTCGCCTGCTCCTTGACGGAGACCTTTGCTCTTGCGGTTCTTAGCCATTGCTACTAAGATTGTTGCAAGATGATCTTGGTTAGAAATTTGGCTTAAAGATTTTTGAAAGTCGTCCCCACAGACGGCGCCAAATTGTTTCGGGTGAAAACAATGGGACCTTGTCGAAGGTCCGATGAAGTGGAGAAGACTAGATTCGATCCAAGTAATGTTGGGCCGAAGGTTTCCTGCACAGTAAACACACGTAAACTAGCCTCGGGGGTGTTGCCGAGGAAGGCCCCTCCGATGCTAAAGTCAGTACAGTGTGTAGAAAGAGAACACTATGCAAGAGAATTAATTGCTTGAGGCTTTGCTTGAATGAATGTACAAATGTAATATTGATGGCTTTTATACCTTTGCATACATGGAGAAGTTGGGCCTTAGCCCAATTGGCTTGCCTTGAGGACTGATCTTTGACTTTAGCACAATTGGAGAGATGAACCTTGACCTTGGGCTTTTAATTGGATCATTTAATGCCTAGGCCCAATTGGACTAAATTGGACCCAAACATGCCTTATATGTTAATTGTCTCGAGGATTATGATTTTTTCCGAAGTTGAAATTGGGGATTGAAGTTATAGTTTATGAAGATCACATTGTTGAAAACTTGTTTGCATTTCAAAGATTAGGTAGGCATGGTTCTTAAAATTGGCTTACCTTGTCAATTACTATTTCTCTGAAGTGATTCAGCCTTTTGGATTTTTAGTGTTGCTGTCTTATCGATCCTTTTGTTTCATCCAAATTAATTTGTATTATACCATAATGAAGAATTGAAGAGATTAATGTATCATATATCCGCCAGCAACTCTTTTGTATTTTCCTAATCTTCATGCCAAAAATGTCCTTACCCGTGAATTGCATTAGGCTTCACCCTATATCCATTTTTTAGGAAGGATTTCACATTCACTCTCACATCTACGGGCTACAATCCAACTCTTATAAGGACCTGGTGGCTGCATTACTACTCTAGGAATTATCACACCAGAAGAAGCTCTGCTTTCTGAATTTTGAATATTCCCTGGTGGTGACAAAGTATGTTGTATTAGGTAGGAATTTCTCCTGAGTGATCTCTTGTAGCCGTTGCACTTGCTCGGTGATCCAGATATCACCCTCCCAACTTTTGGGTCTAGGCGTGGCATTTTAAGCGACATTCTTTTTATTATTTATTTATTTATTTATTTTTACTATCATGGGCAACAGCTTGACTTTTTTAAACTATCAGGTTGTTTCAATCATAGGCTATCATCTGATCAGATATTACTTCCTTTAGATTCTCAACCACTACCATCTCTAGCCATTGCTATATTAAATTTGCACTGAGTTGACTGGCAAATGAAATTTTTGATGTATACTTCGGCATGTAATGAACCCTTGTAGCACTCCCATCCCTGTTCAATGATCTTTCACTTCGACAATTATGAAGACCAGGAAATATGACTCATAGGGGTATGACTTGAAGAGATTCAGCTTTTAATATCAATATTTGAAATCCAGTGTTTGAGGATGATGGCAAGATCATTCATGATGTGTGGCTCAGAGTAGAGGACATTTCTATCCTCAATTGTCCTTAATATCACAATACAGTATCTTCATGTTGAAGTATGGTAGGTCGTGATAAGATTCCATATTGCATCAATAGGTTTTCCTAGATTTATAATTGTCAGTCTCCACACAACATAGAGATTTAAGAGCAGCATGTTATTTCTCAAATCTACATATAACATCATCTTTGTGCGATTGAGCCACTGGATTTTGTATCCTCAATGATAGAAACAATATAAGTCAAACCCTTTTTATTAGCAGTGAGTCTACCTCCCTTCAAATCTTTGGTGAGGGTTCCAATTGAAGCTCCCTATCTCTTTCCTGAACAACATTCCCATCCTGCAAATTCAGCCTTCAAGCGACATATTAGCATGAGAGGATTTTTGGTGGGTCATTTGATATGGCTGGCTTTACCCAGACTTTTGGCCCTTTCCAGACGTATCACTTTGTCCATTTTCTCAGGTTGTCCACTTGATCTGAATGTTTCAGGTTGTTGAGTCTTGTTATTTAAATGTAAACTTGTGTTCTTGCTGCAGCAATATTGTCCTTTTGAATGTTATTTATGGTTTGAGCACTTACACACAGCCACTGCTAATATGTGCAATACCAGGAGATTTGATTTAGCTGTAAGAAGAATGCTCGGTTATTTTTCATGTTGGGAATCTGTTTTTCAATGTCTTGCTTTTTTAATTTGTTAGAGATCTTGCATTGGCTCTCTTGGTCCAGTACTCCAGTGTGAAAAGTGTTGACTAAACAGCTGTGATATCCTAAAATACAAAATGCTTAATATCTTTAATTTTGTGCAACAAATCTGGATCTTGGGCCCTACTGGCCTAGGGCATTTTCTTTTTTTAAGATTTTTAAGGTGACATATGCTTTCTGCGGTAGCTCTGTGGTCTGACTTTTCCATGTTCATTTACAGGCAATGAATGATACTTGGAGCAAACCATTTCTGAATGCTTTCGGTGATTCCAAGAATATCCACCTTTACGAGGTACATTATGCTTTAAAATGTATCTTAGGATTAAAAAGTGGGTTGGCCTTTTGCATCCCCTATGTGCACAAGGTTAACCACAGCCCACAGGTTCTATGATATTTTTAGTAAGCTGTGTTGTGTGGTTGAGTTTTTAGTAGCTGATGCTTTAATATGTGTTTTGAATGCATATGGTATAATTCTAATCTTTGATGGTTCAATAAGAAATACAAACAAGTCCATGCAATGTGTTATGTGGCTTAGGTATGCTCTGGGGGCTTCCTCCCTAAATTATGTATATGCTTATTTTTATTTATTTGACCTGTTGATGGTATGAATTGTGTTTAACATAAAATTAAGATGTTTATATTATTTTAAGTGAATTCTTGTATAAACCTGCCTGGATGACTTTGTCTAATTGATAACTAAGTTCAACCATCCTAGCATTACTTCATCCAATTCACAGGTCATATTATCATCTATTTTATGTATCTTTCAACTGAAATTCTCTAGCCTTTTGCATCTACATATTTACTTTTATGTGGGATGTTCTGCATTGAATTTAATCCCTATAATTTCTGCAAAAGGTGAAGTCTATTACATACTTCGTATCTATTTATCATGTTTTCATCCTTGCAGCATTCCAGCTAAGTTATTTAAAGCTCTAATGCACTTTTTGTTCAACAAATGAATAATTACTGTGTGGATCAAAATGATCATATTCCGTGGGTTGTAGCTAAAAATCCTTTGCATAGACATTGTTGCTGGGCAGTAGGCTAGACATTTGAAATGCAGTTTTAATTTCTAAGGTCTAGTGACTATAGAGTTGAAATTCATTGTAGAAATTTTCATTTCTAAATTTTTTACTTCCAAAAGAGGTCTTGGCACAATCACCTAAATTTCCTGGCAGCTTAGCTGATCTTTGATTTAGGTTTTAAGGATTTGATGTCGTTCCAGAGCTTTAAACATTTTGCAATACTGGTATGACTAGTGCTAGTAGCTTTTAGAATTTTGAGGGCTGACCCTAGTCAATACATGAGGTTTGGAGTAACTAAAAAAGAATATATTACATAACCTGCAGAATCATCTCTGATGAGCGGTTCCAGCTCTCCCCCTACGGAATATTACTAATGAAAAATATAATGAGAAGCTACATCTAGAATAAATCTTTCTAGTTTTATGCCTGTTTATTGTTGGCTAGTACTATATAACATGTTAACTACTCCTAATAGAGAATGAAAGTTCTAGAGAACTATGTGCAGTATGGGATGGTGGGTTTCGTATAGATTCAGAAGAATTTTCCTGGTATCTAGCAACCACTTACTCTTGGGTTTAGATGTAGTAGTTGGGATTTTTATGCAGTGTGTTGCCTGTAGGTTTATGATGGTGCTGCTGTCTCCGCAATTTATTGATCACTTGAGGGGGTGGTTTTCCTGGAGAAACTGCAGTGTGAAACTCAGTGAGTCACAATCCCCAGTAACTAAAAGCTGAACTTGTCCAGTATTGACAGTGTGATTTGTTTTATGTGGATGCTTGAGCAACTCTTTGATGGGAAAGAGTATGGCTGGAAAAACAAATTGGTTGCTTTTTCGCCCTTTACCTTTTTTAGTCAAATTGGTTCAGTTGTAAATGGTGACAGTTGTAGTCATAGAAAGAAATGGCCAGGGATCTCACTGAAGGCCAATCCTCATTTTAGTTTGCTTCTTTGGGTTTTACTGTAAATGAAAGGAGGGTAGACGAGCACAAGCTTCTCTAACTTGAACATATAGCTTTTTGCCTTTGGGCCTTTCCACACAAATAGTAGTCGATTTTAGTAGTCAGTCAGTAAAATAATTCTCTGAGATCCATGAAAATTTGGGTAGCTAGCTATTGCTTGAGGCTACCCCTTTAACAGGTAAGGTTAAATTTTGAATATTCAAGCTCACTAGTCAGGGAACTGATGGCAGCTGAAGTCATGCTCCTACTTTATGTTGCAAAAATGCCCAAGCATGCACCATGGACCAATTGATTAGAAATTTATTTTTATTTTTTGTTTTTAGTTGGCTTGTCACTTAGTGAAAAAGCTGAATTCAAAACAACATAACAGAGTTAACTACTAGTTTCAAGCTATGATTTGTGGATGGAATCACATTATTTAATAGATAAAGTGTATAAAAACCGAAGATCTGAAATAAAAATGAGGATAAAGGAATTTGGGAAAATATCTATACTTATTATTTTAAAACACAAACCACAAATCATTCATATACCACATGTCATCATAAATCACCTATATGCCACATGTCACCTCCCTTCATCTTTCCTTTTTTGTATTCCTTTTTAATATAAAAATTAAAATAAATAAATTATATAATGTTTGAATCTTTATACATTCCGTAACTTGCAAATTTAAGTAAGAACATGAAGTGTTTCATTTCCATCATAATTAAATAAAGTTGTACTAATTAGTACACATTACATAAACACATGAAGTACAATAAAAATAGTCTTTTCATCTCTTAAGCTTAAAATAAAACATAAACTAATATGTCATTTCATATCCCGCAATATTAATGTACATATACCTAACTAAATTCCTTCATCTTCTTCCACAGTCTCACCCTCACTCTTTTTTTCTTTTACGTTTTAGCACTGAACTTCATTCACCTCAATAGTCATGAAAAAATTACTTCGTATTTTATATCAAAAGTTCCAACTATTAAAAAGAATACCTACATATAAAAATAATCTAAGTAATAACCCGTGCATCGAACGGACAAAAATGCTAGTTGATTATTAATATATAATCCCAGTTGGACACTCCCTACTACAAAGTTTAACAAAATTAGATTCACTCAATAATTTTTTGATTCTCTTACCTAACAAAACAAAGTTCATTCAATAATCACAGTCCTTTGATTGGTTGGACATTCCCTACCACAGTACTACCTTGAATCCTTTTTGTTCTTCCCACTTTGACTTTTTTTCTTTAATTGATTTTTTATTTTTTATTTTTATTTTTTTTTATTTTTTATTTTTTTTATCACACAAAAAGATTTTAAATGGGAAGAACAAAGGAGATCATAAGGTGTATTGTCATAACATTAATTTCACTCAATAATCTTCTAACCTCCTTCCCTCTGGCACCTCTAATGCACTCTTTGCCTTCCTCACCAAGCTAATCTTAATCAACTAATAGACCATACCAATTTCCTCTAAGATCCAGGCTAGTCTATTACCATCATATCCTGTAATCAGCTATTACCAAACATGGAAAATTCAGTTCTTTTGGCAAGTTCAATTGCCCTTTTTGAGTCTAGCTTTACACATGAGGCAAGTTATCACTTGGCAAGCCAGGCTCCCACTTAAATGAGCATGGCTTCTCATGTAATGATTTGAGGGTATATGGATATAACTTGTTGAGGTCAAGCTTGTTATGGCTGCTCCCGGCTTGTTTATTGATGGCTGCGTTATGGTGTCTGTAAATCTGTATGCCAACCCAAAAGTTGAGGACTTTATTTGGGAACATTAGTGGCATTTCAATGAGAGTTGAGATGTTCAGTGTGCAATTTTAGAGTGGACAGCTGATGAGGGTAGTGGATTGTAATTAGAATATGTGCAGGTACATAGTATGGCCTGATGATTAATCTGAGTGCTCTATATATTGGTATCCCCTGGAGGAATAAAACGGAATCTTGAGAACCAGAGAAGACCCAAAATTCAACAAAGAATACACCAATAGTCCATCAAACATTTCTTCTTTGTCCAAGAACATGGCCCAGATAATGATTCATTTTCCTAAGGTGTTGACCCAATCAAATTGATAGACGTTTGACCGTCACAGCGCGAATGTTAGAATTGTTTCTTCTACCACATCTTTCACAAGAACACGACTTAGTATTGCAGAACTTTTTTAATGTCCCCTTTGAAGATCTAGATGATGAAAATAAGAAAGTCACTATCTTTTTGATTGCTATAGATTTACAAACGAGAGAATTCTATGTATTTCGATTGATGGTTGAAAGAAGGGGAGCAACCACGGAAGATTATCAATGGTATCGGCATTTTCTTGATGAAGAATGGGTGAATTTTGTCAGACATTGTGAATTGAATGTGGGGGATCGAGTAGAGTTTTCTTGGGCAGATGATGATTATTAATTGCAATTACAAGTTTTCGATCCCTTTCATCCCAAGAAAAATTCGGAGTGTTCGAATTCGTTCGCCTAATAAAAAATGGGGATTGTCGATAATTCGTGCCACAAAGAATTATCCTCAGCACGTATAATTGAATTCTTGTTCAATCAATTATTCAAAATCTTGAATGTTGCATGTTATGAAATTTTGTTTATGTATCTTTTGATGGTGTACAATTGATGTTTTTGATTGAGATTTTAGAGTGGGTTTGTTGAAAGAGTCATGTCTCTCTTCCAGATTCAAAGGATAATTTAGTTAGAGTGATGGTAGAGAGCTTATTTTCTTTAATATTTAGCTTATGATGATATGACTCTCTATCCTCACTCTAACTAAATTATCCTTTGAATTCGGAATAGAGATATGACTCTTTCAACAAACCAACTCTAAAATCTCAATCAAAAACATCAATTTTACACCATCAAAAGATACATAAACAAAATTCCATAACATGCAACATTCAAGATTTTGAATAATTGATTGAACAAGAATTCAATTATACGTGCTGAAGATGATTCTTTGTGGCGCGAATTATCGACAATCCCCATTTTTTATTAGGCGAACAAATTCGAACACTCCGAATTTTTCTTGGGGGATGAAAGGGATCGAAAACTTGTAATTGCAATTGATAATCATCATCTGCCTAAAAAAACTCTACTCGATCCCCGACATTCAATTCATGATGGCGGACAAAATCCACCCATTCTTCATCAAGAAAATGCTGATACCATTGATAATCTTCCATGGTTGCTCCCCTTCTTTCAACCATCAATCGATATACATAATATTCTCTCGTTTAAAAAGATAGTGATTTCATATTTGCATCATCTAGATCTTCAAAAGGGACATTATAAATGTTCTGCAATACTATGTGAAAGATGTAGTAGAAGAAACAATTCTAACCTTCGCACTACGACGGTCAAACGTCTATCAATCTCTGATTGAGTCAACACCTTAGGAAAATGATTCATTATCTAGGCCATGTTCTTGGATAAAGAAGAAATGTTTGATGGACTATTGGTGTATTCTTTGTTGAATCTTGGGCTCTTGAGCTATGTAGACAGCCTTTCTAAGCTAATCGGATGGATGTGTCCCCGTTGTTTTGTGCAGATTAAGCCTCTAAGATTGGATATCACGTGTATTTGGCCGGTAAATCTCATTTGTTGTTCTAGAAGGTTGGCTTTGGTATTAGAAATTTAGAACTAAGCAATAGTGACACCAATGGGTTAGTATGCTGAGGATGATAATAATTTAAATTTCTTTCATATTTTGTGGCACACGAATCAAAGCTCAAATTCGAATTGGTTACATGACCTAGGGAAAAAAGAGAAAGATAGAGTGGCTCCTATGCTATTTGTTTAGTCAAATTAGATTGATAAGGTGTCCATCTCATTTCTAGGTGCCCCTGAGAGATCAATCTGCACATTTTTTGGCAATTGGCTGAACCACATAATAGTCTTTTAGCAAATAACATTGAGATAATGTGGTGCTTGTAAAGTTTAGCTTCTTAAAGATAGTGTGTGCTTATGATATACATAGCTTTTATGCCTGCCTTTTTTGTAATCCAGGGCATATTGTCACGTGCTGACTACTTTGCCTAGTCACACACCGTGCGCCACCCGCTTACAGTTCGTCGTAAGACGAGTCAGACTTTCTTCTTTGGCACTACTCCTTGTGTCCACGTAGCACATCCATTTGTGCTGTTTGAATAAGTTTGCTAGCACGTTCCCTTGGTGCTAACAAGGCCCCTTTGTTGAACTAAACACTCTCCCTTAGTGCCTTAGTCCGAATTTGACAATTGAGCGCACAAGCTATCACCCTTGCTAATATGCCCGACCACTCACTTGGCACCCTCGTGCCTTGGTTTTCCTTACACTGTCTAAGTGTTTAAAGGAAAGAGATAGAGTTGCAAGAGACCACAAGTGCTTTTGGAATGCTTTTGTATTACTCTCAACTTGAATGTACAAATGAGCCTTGGAGCCCTATTTATAGTGCTCTATCCTACTTACAAGGAGTATCTAGAAAATTCCCAACCTCCTCAAATGGAGGGTTCTAGACTACAAGGATCTAGAGAGTTTCCACCTCCTTAGGAACTACATATATTGAGGTTTCTACATCCTTCCTACCTAGAATGCTAAGGAGAACCCTAGAACATTCTAGAATATTACCAGAGTTATGTACATATATAGAAGAACTTAGAAGACTTGTAATATGTACCAGACCTTCCTTGATTATTTTCGAGTCACCCACTCTAGAATAGTCTTCAAAATAACCTCGTAGAATAGCCTGAAACCTTCTAGAAGCTTCCCGCGTTTTCTGCCGCCAAAAGTCGTACTTCGGGACCTCATCTCGAAAAAGTGACATCACCATGGTCTTTTTTGGCCCAAAATACGGTGGACCCCTAAATTTGGGCCCATCTGGACTTCGTTTGTGCCCTTAAATGGCCCATTATTGTGTTAATGTCACTTGGGTGTTCACTAGTTTTACAAGGCTACAACTAAATAAAGCTCTATAGGGGGAAGTGTGCTGCTGGGTACCAAGGGAAAGCCCCATAGCCACGATTATGCCTTGTTGCCAAGTGACTCAAAGGGGCTACCCCAGTCAATCAGTCCATTTGTGTTATAAGAAATATATAATAATGTTTTGTATTGTTTTTTCTCCAAATTAAAAAATAAAAAAATCCTATAGCTAGCTCACCACGAGCCAGTAGCCACGACAAGACCAGATCTACATTTCCACCACCGAAAAGGACGAGAGAGGAGAAACCATAACACCACCGGCCTTCCTCTTTGTCGTCTTCTTCAACAACCATGGCGGAATGCCCCTAGTAGAAAAAGGTGTAAATTAGGGCCATATCAACCCCTTAGGGAAATCCTCTTCTTTGCGGAAGCAATTTTAACCACCATAGGTGGTGGTGGCGGTGGTCTGCAATAGAGATTTCATGGAGGAAGAAGGTGGGTTGCTGTAATGGAAGAATGGAGAAAGGAGGAAGAAAGGGATGAAACTTACAAAATTATCCCTAATTAAACAAATAAAATTACCCATATACCCCCTGACTTACATTGCTTGTCAATCAGACTGACAACAAGTATTTCCTCGTGACCCCAATGACGCCCATCTTTGGTGTGAGAGATGACCCGTGACAGTATGCTATAATATTTAAAGGAGATGCATGTACATCCTTTCAATTTCTTTGTTCATTTTCTTTTCACTGAAGATGAACTTTATAACTGCAATTTTTCTTAACCTCAGGTATCATTTGTGGACTCATGGTTACTGTCACGAAATCCTGTGAAGTGGCTCTTGCTTCGAATGATGAAAAAATCAAATCCAGCTGAGAATTCAGGCGCTCTGCAAAGACAGTTAGTCTATTCTTTTGGCGATCACTATTACTTCAGAAAGGAGCTCAAGATATTGAACCTTTTGACTGGGTATTGGATCTTCGGCTTTTTTTAGTAGTTTACCTTGTTCAGTAGTCTAACCTCTTGAGTCTTGAGTACTTTGTTAATATTTTTCAAAAAATGTCTTTTCACAGGTACATGTTCTTGCTAGATAGTTTCGGTAGAATAAGATGGCAGGGTTATGGAGCAGCAACAGAAGAGGAGTTATCATCACTTCTTTCAAGCACTTCTCTTCTACTGGAAGAAAAGTAAGCTGTCAAAATCGTTTAATGTCAGCAGCTGTTAACGTGGATCATCTGTCAAAATTTTGGAACATAACATGAATAAAGAAACTTCTGGGACTACTTTAGTAAAAAGAAGCATTGATCACTTGTTATCTTTGTCTCTATCAACCGTAATTTCCCAGTGGGGATTGACAGCACAAGTCACCCTTATAAAGATACCCCCCATTACTTTGGGTTATGTTGTTTGCTTGCTTGATGCACCCACCAAGCTAGCATTAGAGGTTCTCATTTCAATCTTAACTTCGACCTACAAACACCCCTTTTTGGTCTTTGAGCTCTATAGGGATTTAGAGTTTCAGATTACACTTCGGTTTGGTTATTGTATTTTGAGAAGATTCCTCATTTATAATGTTAGTTTACCCCCAAGTATCCCCTGTGATGGCCTGATGGGGCTTGAATTTTTGAGTGTGGGTGTATACATTGCGTTTTAATTACATATATAAGCAAAATGTGTAGTCATGCCATATTGTGTTTTGTATTCTTCTGTTAAGTCTAATGGTGACCTCTAATTACTGCACTTTCTATGCGGTGGAATTTTTTTGGGTTATATTCTATAGTATTCCTCTACTTTTGCATATATTTGAAACGTGCATTTATTGCTGTTTAACATGACTAGCTTCGACATTAAATGACTTATTTTTAACGTTGATCTAAAAATAACCAACTCACCCTTAGTAACACCATATCACCACCAATGCCCACCATTTAAGCCACCCTGAAACCACCCCTATCTACCTAAAACAACCCACCACCATCAAAATCACCCACCTCTATCTTAAATCTACTGAAAAATCTCCAATCCATATTTATTAATTTTTATACCATTGTAAATAAACTAAAACAACCGACCCCCATCGAAATCACCCACCTCTATCTTAAATCTCCAATCCATGTTTATTAATCAACTTGTATACACTAGTAACGTAATACATAATCTACATGACTATATATACAACTGCACCGTATAAGCTCATATGCAGATAATATAGATTATATTTTTTGCCCTATTGTACATCCTCAAAATGTAAATCTACATAATCTACATATTGGTCCCCAATCTATACATGAGCTTATAATCATGTAATTTTTTTCTCCTATTGTACATCCTCAAAATGTAAAGACGTAATATATCAGGGGATCGGTACTTTTGAATTAGGAAGAGAAGAACGTTGACATTTACTAGGATGCTTAGTGCTATTATCGTCTGTAATCATAATTATAGTGCATTAGTGCCCCTACATTGTATTTGTAATTGTGGGATGGACTTTGTCAGGTTGGGGCTATAATGCTTTTCCCTTGTCTTAATCTTAGCCTTTTGAGATGTGATCACATGTATGTTTAAAAATAATGTGTACCGTAACACAATATTAATAGAATATTAGAATGGAGAACATATACTAGTATAGTAATCTAAGAAAAGCAAAAGGTAAAAAACCCAAAGTGGCCAAAGATTGGCAATCCCTTGGCATGATGAGTTGTTATTCTCTTCAACCTCATTACACTCTCCACAATCATCATCAGAATCCCCCAATTTGTTCCTCTGCAACAACAAAAAAATAACGGCCTTGAATGACAGACCAATCACGCCCTGCCACCGGGTACCCGGCTCCACCCCAAAACGGTTACCCGCCACCGCCACAATCCAACTATTATTATCCAAACTACAACGCGCCACAACCATACTACCCTTCCCAACCACGCGCTACCTTCTTCCGCCGCTTCTTCGCGGCACTCATTGCTGTTTTCATCATTTTCGGCGTCATTCTCCTCATCGTTTGGCTCGTACTCCGCCCTCGTATCCCATCCTTCACCGTCGATTCTGTCACTCTTTCTTCCCTCAACACCTCCACCTCTCCTTCCCAGATCTCCGGCACTTGGTCCTTCCACTTTTCCGTCGCTAACCCTAACCACAAGCTCCATGTCTACTACGACGAAATCGAGGCTCGTTTGTTCTACAGAAACTCGCTGGTTTCCCAGAATCAACTTCCGCCGTTTGACCAGGGGACTAAGAACGTGACCACCATGGATGCTCAGCTTGTCGCTTCCTCTGCTTACCTTGAATTGGATTTGGTGAACAAATTGAAGGATGATCGTTCTAGAGGTAGCGTCAAGTTCGATGTTCAAGTGTTGGCGTTGGTCAGGTTTAAGGCTGGTGGTTGGAGAGCTCGAAGACGGTTTCTTAGGGTTTTTTGTGACGATTTGTCTGTTGCATTTTCATCCAATTCTACCAAAGGGAATTTATCCGGTGGGCCACGACGGTGTTCTGTTGATATCTGATTCCTCTTCTTCATCTTCTTTTTCCAGGTGATTGAATTGATTAATCTTTGCTATTAATTCGCTGTATGTATATGAATTATGTACGACACTGAAATCAGAGATACATTATCACGTTTATTTTCTACTTCGTAGTCTATTAATTGGCAAAAATGTGTAGTTTGTTACATACTTCGTATCTATTTATCATGTTTTCATCTTTGCTGCATTCCGGCTAAGTTATTTAAAGCTCTAATTAATGAACTTTCTGTACAACAAATGAATAGTTACTTGCATGTATAATCCTTTGCATAAAAGCATTGTTGCTGCGTTAGGCTAGACATTTGAAATGCAGCTTTAATTTCTAAGGTCCAGTGACTATAGAGTTGAACTTCTGTTGAATTTTTCATTTCTAAATTTTGTACGAGACCCCAAATCATTTTGGGACTGCACAATCAGTCAATCACCTAAATTTCCTGGTAGCTTGCTGACCTTTGATTTACGTATTAAGGATTTGATGTCGTTTCAGAGCTTTTAACTTTTTGCAATACTGGTATGAATAGTGCTAGTAGCTTTTAGAATTTTGAGGGCACGCTGACTCTAGTAATTACTTAAGGTTTGGAGTAACTTAAAAACAAAATATTAGATAACCTGCAGAATCATCTCTGGTGAGTGGTTCCAGCTCTCCCTATACGGAATATTACTAATGCAAAATGTAATGAGAAGGTACATCTAGAAAATATCTTTCTAGTTTTATGCCTGTGTATTGGTGGCTAGTACAATAAACATGTTAATTACTGTTAACAGTGAAAGTTCTAGAGAACTATGTGCAGTATGGGATGGTGGGTTTTGTATAGATTCAGAAGAATTTTCCTGGTATCATAGCAACCACTTTCTCTTGGGTTTAGATAAAGTAGGTGTGCAGCATGTTGCCTGTAGGTTTATGATGGTGCTGCTGTCTCCGCAATATATTGATCACTTGAGGGGGTGGTTTTTCTGGAGAGACTGCTGTGTGAGACTCACAATCCCCAATAACTAAAAGCTGAACTTGTCCAGTATTGACAGTATAATTTTTGAAAAAAAAAATTGGGTACAATTATGTACTCCATAAGAGGTGTGGATGCTCGAGCAAGTCTTTGATGGGGAAGAGTATAGCTAGAAGAACAAATAGGTAGCTTTTCACCCTTTACCTTCTTTAGTCAAATGGGTTCAGTTGTAAATGGTGACAGTAGTATTCATAGAAAGAATTGGCCAGGGATCTCACTGAAGGTCAAGCCTCATTTTTGTTTGCTTCTTTGGGTTTTACTATAAATGAAAGGAGGGTAGATGAGCACAAGCTTCCCTAACATGATCTTATAGCTTTTTGCCTTTGGGCCTTTCCTACACAAATAATAGTCAATTTTATTAGTCAGTCGGTAAAATAATTCTCTGAGAACCATGAAAGGTTTGGTAGCTAGCTATTGCTCGAGGCTACCTCTTTAATAGGTAAGGTTATAAATTTGTCTAGAGTATTCAAGTTCACTAGTCAGAGAAGTGAGGGCAGCTGAAGTCATGCTCCTACTTTGTGTTGGCAAAAATACCCAAGCATGCAACATGGACCAGGCCGATTAATTTGAAATTTATTTTGATTTTTGTTTGAGCTGGCTTGTCACCAAGTGAAAAAGCTGAATTCACAACAATTTAGTAGACTGAACTACTAGTATCAAGCTGTGACTTGTGGATGGAATCACATTTATTTAATAGATCCAGTGTATAAGAACTGAAGATTTGAAATATAAAAATGAGAATAAAGGAATTTGGGAGAATATTGATTATTGGTATACAATCCCAGGCCTTTGATTGGCTGGACACTCCGTACTACAAAGTTTAACAAAATCAGAATTCACTAAATAATTTTCTGATTCTCTTACCTAACAAAACAAAATTCACTCAATAATCACATTCCTTTGATTGGTTGGACATTCCCTACTACATTACTAGATTTACTATCTTGAATCCTTTTTGTTCTTCCCACTTTGACTTTTTTTAATCTCACTAAAAGATTCTAAATGGGAAGAATAATGAATATTAGAGGGTATATGCAAGGAACCAGAAGCTTCCTATTTTATTCACTTATTCCTGCAAGAAATGGTGCCAAAGGTGGTTAAAACTACCTAAGGGTAGAGTAGTAATTCAACACTAGTTTGTTATGAGATGCCTGGCAAGAGGAGTTTTGTTATGGGTTGCTTAGGAAGAAGAGTTCTGTTAGAGGCCTTTAAATATAGATGCATTGTAATCTGTTTTGCATGCTGAATATAACTCTGGGAGTTTTTCCTTTTAATTTTTCCTTGAGGGAGAGCCCGTACCTTTCGAAAGTAAGGAGGTTGTTTTGTGTGATTACTTGGATCATCATTTACTATTCCTTGTTCTGTTCTCTCTTTGACCTGCTGCTTTTCACCTCTAGTTCCTAGCTGTATATTGTCATAACAATAATTCACTTAATAATTTTCTAACCTCCTTCCCTCTGTCACCTCTAATTCACTCTTTGCCTTCCTCACCAAGCTAATCTTAATCAACTAATATGCCATACCAATTTCCTCTAGGATCCAGGTTAGTCTATTACCATCATATCCTGTAATCAGCTATAACCAAACATGGAAAACTCAGTTATTTTGGCAAGTTCGTTTGCCCTTTTTGAGTCTAGCTTTACACATGAGGCAAGTTATCACCTGGTAAGCCAGGCTCCCACTTAAATGAGCGTGGCTTCTCATGTAATTATTTGAGGATGTATGGATATAACTTCTCGAGGTCAAGCTTGTTATGGCTGCTTCCGGCTTGTTTGTTGATGGCTGCGTTATGGTGTCTGTATGCCAACAAAAGTTTAGAACCTTATTTGGGAACATTAGTGGCATTTCAATGAGAGTTGAGATGTTCAGTGTGCGATTTGACAGTGGACTGATGAAGGTTGTGTATTTTACCTAGAATTTGTGCAGGTTCATCATATGGCCTGAAGATTAATCTGAGTGCTCTCTATATTGGCAGTTTGGTATCCCCTGGAGGAATAAACCAGAAGCTCGGGCTCTTGAGCTCCATAGCCAGCCTTTCTTAGCTACTCAGATGGATATTCCTGTTGTTTGGTGCAGAATATGCCTCTAAAATTGGATATAGGAGGTCCAACTCTTCTCTCTGGTGTTGGCTTTGGTATTAGAAATTTAGAACTAAGCAACAATAGTGGCACCAATGGGTTAGTATTCTGAGGATGATAATATTTAAATTTCTTTCGTATTTGGTGGCACTTGGATCAAAGCTCAATAGTGGCTGCTATGCTGTTTGTTCAGTCAAGTTAGATGGATAAGGTGTCCATCTCACAAAGTTAGGGTTGATGTATGAACTTAGGCCTAAAAAATGTTCATAACAAGTGTCAAAAGGAAACTAGTGTGTATCAATTGGTATAAGTTGAGTAGAAGTGTGTAGCTTTACTGCAGTATTTTATGGAACAGAAATAGCTCTTCTCTCATCCATCTGCCCCCTTCCAATTCTATTTTCCTTATTAGTCTCAAACTTTTCTTTGAAATTAAACATTTTTATCTTCATTTTCATGTATAAAAATTAGGAAAAATTCATTTTAATAATCCCAATTTTGGACGATTTACTTTTAATAATCCCCACTTTGGACGATTTACTTTTAATAATCCCAACTTTGGATTACTATCTAATAATCCCAACTTTGACATCACTTTGCCTCTAGCAGTCCCAACCTGTCAACAAGTGGTCAACAACATGCTATTATTGGTTACAAAGACACGTGTCAACACGGGATTGGTCCAAAAAAATCTTTTAAAAAAATTGAAAATAAAAAAATTAGAAACGACAACCACCCTTCCCTATGCCAGCCACCTCCATGCCACCCACATCCAGCCTGACCCCCTACAAGACCCCTCTCTCCTAACATCGGCGCATAACCCCCTCCCCCTAACCATCGTAACCTTCCCCGTTAATTCCTATTTCTGAATCCAATTATTTTTAATAGATTTTGGGGTCTAAATTTCTCTAATCTATTAAATCAATTGGCTGCAATTATATTGAGGTTGTAAGGATAATATATCTATTAGATTAAGGCCTTGTTGGGCAAATGGTTGTTGGCGGTTGGCTGATTCACTTGGCTTATTTGACCAGCTGGAATGTTTGGCTGTTTATAATGGCTTTTGAAATTGGCTGTTTAAGCTGGCTGTTTATGAAAGTGTTTGGTAAATTTAGTTTTTGGCTGTTTATTAGATAATTTGTGGGCCAACAAGCAAAAGCCAACAAAAAAAGCTAGTCAAAGCAGCCTTTTCATTTTCGCTTAAAAGCCAGCTTTTTCGCTGAATGAAAAGCCAATTACCAAACACTTTTTTTGGCTGTTTGACCACGTAAAAAAGCCAAAAGCTAACCAAAAAGACACCAAAAAACCATTTACCAAACATGGTCTAATTTTGCATATATATATATATATATATATATAAACAAGACTTATGATGAAAACTAAAAACAGAAAATCTCAACCATCCATTATTACTAACAAGATCCAACGGTTTAAACATAGAGTCATTATATATAAAAATAACGTAACTATATACAAAAATAGGGTAACTATATCAATTTTTACAACATTTACATTAACGTCACTATATACAAAAATAAGGTAACTATATCAATTTTGATCATATTCTCATAGAAGCACTATATACAAAAGTAGGGTAAATATATCAATTTTGACCACATTTACATAAAGGTCATTATATACAAAGATAAGGTCACTATGTTGCTGAAAATCCATGAAACAGAGGCATCATCCTACATATTCATACCGCAATTGGTCATCAACAGTTTCACACACCAAAACATTGTGACTTGATAGATTAATTAACAATGCCAACACATTAATGAATTTCTTCTCATGCTTGATACTACTCCCTCCGTAAACCAATACCCACAAACAAACATATTTATCCTAGATTATACATCTATCTTTGGGTTCCGAAAAACTAATTGTTAATCAAAGAAATGCATAATCATCAAAAAAGCACTTTTTCAAATTGATATGATTATACATTTATACTATAAGTAAATAGTATGATGATGATGAAGTAATTGAAAGGGCAGTGATTGAGATAGAGATCTCATTGACATGTCGCTTGCTGGGAGCCCAAGCTGGTTGAGAATCAACAATGCCATTGACAAAACCTCCATCTCTCTCTCCAATCTCTTCTACCTCTCTCCCCAGCATACCCACTGCTTCCAGGGCTTGCAGGAGCTTCCCTTTCCACCTCTCTCCATGCCATACCACCACCTCACAGAGGATACCTCCCCTTCCTTTGTACTCTCTAGCACTTCACCATCCTTCATTGACTGGTCAGATTGCTTAGTCACAAAGAGCTGCTTGCGGGCGGATTTTATACGGGCTAATTCTTCTATCTCCTATTTCAGCACAACCCAACAACAACACACAGTAGCTATGCGTTTCCACAACAACCACCAGCCACCTTAATTAATTCGCCTAGCCATCCATGTAGTTCATCCACCTCGCACCCTCCAAATCCACAACCAACCTCCGCCAATTCACATGACCAGCTATCGCAATAACCACCATAGCAGCCAGTCGCAACATCAGCAGCCGCATCTCTATCGGACGCCCACACAGCGGCCACCAATTGCTCCAAAAATTCGCCACCAAAGACCGACTCCAACATCAGCAATTCAACCTCCAACAATCAACAATTCAGCCAATTAGAAAATACAAAATTAAACGAAAATACAATTGCATTCAGAACCGGAAGAAAGTCGAGCAAAAATTACACATAAAATACAATTGAAGCTCGAGAATGCCAAACGATGAAATTAAGTTGAATTATAACATAATTACACTCATATGAAACTCGATTAAGAATGAAATAGCTCAAATAAAGTTTATTGATTACAATCAATTTCAAACAATCAAAACCTAATTACCTGAAAAAGGAGGGAGATCAATGACCATGTTTTTGGGCATGCTCAAGATGACGACGTTCCTCGGGAAGAGCAACAAGGTAAGAGAAGGCCATACCACCAAAGCAAACATGGTAAAGAGGCGTGATTGAATCAGTCTCGATGTATTTAGCATGGTAACCGTCGATTCCTTTGGCAAATGATTCCTTGAGGTAGGAGAAAGATAGCATAGACTTCACCTTGCCGGGAACTTCCTTCACTGTAACACCTCGAAGCTTGTTGATGAATCTACGCAACGCCATTGTTGTTCGATAAGAGAGAAAGTGAGGAAAGAGAGAGAAAAATTGGGGATCGAATTTCGATTATAACCTTAGGATATAATCTCATCCGTTGATTAAAATTCAATGGTTAAGATTATCTATTTTTAGTTTTTAGCTTTAGACTTGTTTTCACATGATCTATTATATATATATATATATATATATATATATATATATAAAAAAGGAAATCGCATTGCTTAATTTGATGTTGGGTTCTAGAATTAATTGAAAGTAGCTGTATCTCAATTGGGTTTTAATTTCTTTGTTTTACGATTGAGTTTTGTAAGCTTGTTTCCTTAATTTCAAGCAGAGGAGAGAGAAAAGCAGAGGGGACGAGGAAGGCACGATGGAAGGGGGAACGGGGAGGGGGGTCTGGGCGGCGCCGGCCGACGCCAGGGGGCAATAGAATCGTGCTGCGCGTGGGTGGTAAGGATGTTAGGCTGTTTTTTTTTAACTTTTTTTTTTATAATTTTTTTAATTTTTTAAACCAATAAACATGTGACACGTGTCATTAAATAAAATAATTAAATAAATAAACTTATTTGTTCATCAGTTAACCGATCATTGGGACTGCTGGAGGCAAACTGATGTCAAAGTTGGAATTATCAAATAATAATCCAAATTTGAGATTATTAAAAGTAAATCGCCTAATACAGAGATTATTAAAGTAAATTTTTTCTAAAAATTATAAGAACTAGATATTAATAACTAACACATACATGGTACAAAAATAAGCAAAGCAAAAATCCACGTCCCTACTAACGCCTATGACCATTGACCCACTAACAACAGTCCTAATAATATACCACTTGCTTAACAAATCAAACCCACTAAACTACTAATTAAACTAAACTATAGGAATTGAGTCGCATTAGTTAGAGACTCGCGCGCATCCCACTACTTTGAAGCACTACAATCAACAACATTACCTCCATCAAGCAATTATAGATTTAGAACTAAAAAAAAAAAAGGCAAATTTCTCTTTTGTTCCACAAATTTCACCTTTTCATTCAACTCCATATAGTTTAGGATGAGTTTGACATTCACAAGTTCACGAGACCATTGAACTACCAACATTTATTTATATACTAGTATAAATCCCGTGCAATGCATGTTTTTTACAAAATTTTATTGCGACTGACAATGTTTAGTTATTACTACAATAATTAATTATAAAAATGAATTATATTACTGTACATAATAAATAACTTCATTATTTATAATAAATAAAATCAAGGTTAATACCCGCGCTTGCAATACACTTAAGTCCCACACTTTGATAGGCACATGGGTAATTTAATTGATTATTTGTTTCATTTTTAGTGAATGGTGGAGAATTTAATTTTTGTTTTATTATTAGCAATATTGTTATGATTATAGTCAATGGGTATTTTTATCTAATATTCCTATAATATTAAATACAAAAATACATAGTTATGTATAAATATATAATTTGATAAATTATTTAGGATATATATTGCATATTTGTATTATATTTACAAAATGAGGTGCAATGTTAATAAAAGTATAAATTTTTACAACTTCATTTATTTTACTTTTTCATCGAAAATTGTTGATGGGTTTATGTTTGAAAATAAAATACAAAGTACAACATATGCATAAAATTATACAAAAAAGAATAATTTGAAGTCTTATAGAAAATTACTATTTTAATACAGAGTACACAATAAAAAATGGTAAGAAAGATATTGTTCTTAAAAAATGAAAAGAAAGATATAAAAATATATATTGGTAGAACATATATGGAAGAAATTTGATTTGAAATATAGAAGTTAATATTTGACAAAAAAAAAATCATTTAGGCGGAAAATTTTTTAATTAGAAGATGACATGTGCCATCCCAAAATTTGCCTTTAGTATAAAGTTATAGATTTATCATTGAAATTACCAAGTGTTTAAAGGGAGTTACAATATGAGAATAGTAAAATCAGATAAACAAAAGTGAAAGAGAAAATGGGTTTGTATTCTAATAAAATTTAGGTAAAATATGTTTTGATTTCGGTTAAAAACGAGAGATAATTAAATCATATAAGTAGTAGATAAAAAAATATTTGTAGAATATGACCTTTCTATGATTCTATCTCGCCTTGCTTTTCACATATGTATCCCCATGTCCTAAGATAAAGTGCTCGAATTTATGGGTGGTTATCTCTAGAGGTGTCAATTTGGATAATTGAATTGAGTATAGGTCGGGTCTATAAGAGACGAGTCTGTTCGGGTCAAAATTATTCTTTTAACTCGGTTCAGGTATTCGTCATAGTCTATCGAGTCCGGGTCGGATATGGGTCGAGTCAACTCCAGATCGGTTCATGTTCGGTTCGGATAAATTCGAATCGGGTTCAAAACGGGTTTATCCGGGTTAATTTCGGGTCGGATGAATTTGAGTCGGGTTGATTTCGGTTCGGATGATTTCAGTTCAGTCAAGTTCGGTTTGATTAAGATAAGGTCGATTCAGTATTTGGTCAATTCCGATTCAAATCCTTTCCATGTTTGTCTAGATTTTGGTCGAGTTGACCAAATTCAATATCCAAATAAGGTCATTTTTAAAATAGAGTAATTATTGAATTTTTACCTTATTATTGGGTCGATATCAAGTCATTCATGTGTCATTTCTCATATTGCATGGTTAATTATTACGAAATGCGAAGATTTAGTTTTCTCATTCAATCAATTCTTGTGTAATATTTATGTTGGAGCCAAATCTAAATTGAATAATTATCGATGACTTATCATACCTACATACATAAGTGAGACGATTAGTAATGAACTATTGATAGATTGATAGATGATAGTCACATATGGTGATATACAAAAAAAGAATGTCCTCTTTTTAAGGTACTATTATTCAATTGTTTAATCTCATGAGGCTTCTATTTATTAGGCGTGATTTCGAGTACAAATTCCCTTTAAATCTGCAAAAAGGAGCGTGATCAAGCAATAACAATAAATCATGAATAATCAAACAACATATGATTAATACAACAATCATCATCATAATAACATCATCAAAACACCATTAGTAGTAAGATCCTAGGCATGATACTAAACGGATTAATAACAAATCTTACCATGTCACTAATAATAAGATCAAAGCGTTATCCTAAATACGATACTAGAAATCATAAAAACATCCTTAACATGATACTAGGAATCATAAAGACATCCTAACATGATACTAGGAATTAAAATAATATTGTAAATATGATTTCTACTCCAAAATCAAAGAATAATAATGAGGGTGATTGAATTACTCACTTCGATGCTTCGATTTTCTTGTTATTAAAACAATACACACGTTAGTAACCTTCAAGAAAGATTAAATCAATAAAGTAAATAAATCATATATGAATTGAAATAGAGATTTAGGACCAAACCCTCAGAACTATCAACCTTTCACGTCGAGGTCGAAGGCAACGTCGAGTATGGTTAGGAGTATTCAAATCTCGCGAAGGAGGTATTGTGGATGATTTAGATGTATCAAGGATGTGTTTAGGCTAAGGCTAAGAACATTGCAATCAAGAGAGAGAATAGATGATTATGATGATTGTGATGATTGATGATGGTTGTGGATGGCTATTGTCCATGATCTGAAACGGGAAGAAACGACCTCTACTTATTAGGAAAAAATAGAGTCTTAGCGATTAGAAAATATCAGAATTTGAATCGGAATAAAACAGGTTTCATCGCGGAATGATAGAAGTATCGCGGCGCGACAGTGTCCATCTTGGCGCGATAAGACCATCGCGGTACGACAGTGTTCATCGTGGCGCGATAAGACCATCGCAGGGCGACAGGACCATCGCGCCGCGATAGTTCATACGGAGTTTGATTTCCAATAGAATTGGGTTAACGAAATATATCCGTACGTCTTTTAATTTGGACGGGATAAGGACTATCATATGAGAAGTTTTATTCGGCTTTGAACTCCTTTAATCTTTATCTTTTAGGAAAGGATAAATTAGAACCTTCTAGAGGATTCTAGAAACTCCTAAGGAATCCTAATGAGTTTAGGATTGGAAATAAAGTGTTTGGACCATCACATGATCAATTGGGTTGTAGGTAAGGTGGACCTAGGTCTAGTTTGGGCTTGGTTTAATATTTTAGCCATAACTTATTTGTTTTAAGTCGGATTTGGACTTATAACACGAAATGAATGATTTTAAGGATACGAAATAAATGATTTTGGGATTAAAGTCACGAAATAAATGATTTTGGATTAAAACATTTTAGGAAAGGTTAGAATATGGTCAAGGCTTAAGGGGAACTTCACAAGACTCTTCAACTCTTTACCGAACTCGTCAATCAAAACGTAAAAAATACTCATCATTGGATTTGGTTTTTGGGGAGACACAATCAAGTGTCTACAATATAGTAGTATAAGAACTTGAAAAAAGGATCATAGTTAATAATAATATTAATTCTTTATTTTATAAAAATAAAATTAAACCTTAAAAAAAAATTACTTGTTTAACAGGTCACCGGTCATTTGGGATTGTTTTGGACGAATGAAGTATAAAGTTGGAATTATTAAAAACCAGTTTTGTGCCCAGACGACGCCCGAATAACTGATAAAATTTTAGGATAAACTTTTTGGCTTGAATGTTCATTAATACGGTTATGTAATTATAGAATAGTGTACTTTTTGTAGATTTGTTTGTAAATAGACATCTATATTATTATTGACTTGAAATTATTGTTATTGAATTTAAATTATTTTTACTCAACTAAAAGTATTTTTACCAAACCAAAATTACTTTTACAGATTAAAACTTATTTTTACTGATTCTCTGTTATTTTTTTAACTAAATTAAATATATTATACATGGATCTCATTTTAAAAAACTTTTTGAAACAAATTTTATGATGGAAATAAAATCAAGTTATAGGATATTTATTAAAAGTTATGATTAATTTTTTATACATGAAATATTAGAAGTATAGTGATAAAAAACTCTATACAACATTTTTTATCTTAAAAAATCTATCCAATGCCCGGGTGATGTTCAGATGGTTGATAAAATTTTAGTATAAAATTTTTGGCTTGAATGTTAAATAAGGTCAAATAATCCTTTTTGATAATTCAGGATACTTAGACATACAATATCATATAACTTATTTACATAATAGAGTACTTATTTCAAAAATTATATATTTAATTTATCAAAAAGTATTATTGTATTCAAATAGTATAAAATAAGATATCTATGTTGTTATTGACTTGAAATTATTTTTATTGAACTTAAACTAAAATTATTTTTACTGATGAAAATTTATTTTTACTTATCTTTCTATAATTTTTAAAATAAATTAAATATATTATAAATTGATCTTATTTTAAAGAAATTTTTAAAACGAATTTTATGATGTAAATAGTATTGAGTTATAAGATATTTATTAAAAGTTACAATTAATTTTGTATATCTATAATATTAGAAGTATATCGATAATAAAACACTATACAATATTTTTATCTAGTTTTGTGCCCGGACGATGCCCAGATGGTTCATAAAATTTTAAGATAGCATTTTTACTTGAATGTTAAATACGTTCAAATAATTCTTTCTGATAATGTAGGATATTTGGACATACGATATCATATGGAGTGTACTTTGTATAGTTTTGTTTGTAAATAAATATCTATGTTATTATTGACTTGAAATTATTTTTATTAAACTTCAATTATTTTCACTGAATTAAAAGTATTTTTACCAAACTAATACTATTTTTACCGATTAAAACTTATTTTTTACTGATTCTCTAATATTTTTTTAAAATAAATTAAATAACAATGCATTTTGTATGCAACTAACCACACCATCTTGTCGGACAAAGTAACCCCTATAAAATTGATCGAGTAACCCCTGTAATACTAACCAAGTAACCTTTAACACTGACTAAGTAACCCCTATCTATAACACTGATTGAGTAACCACTATAACACTAATCAAGTAACCCCTATAGCACTAACGAAGTAACTCTGATATTGTAATAGTTGGTGACATGGTTTGGCTAGTTACGTATAAAAGTTTGTGATTAAATATATTATAAATGGATCTTATTTTAAAAAACTTTTTAAAATGAATTTTATGATGGAAATAATACCGAATTATAAGATATTTATTAAAAGTTATGATTAATTTTGTATATATGAAATATTAGAAGTATATTGATAATAAAACTCTATACAACTTTTTTGTCTTTAAAAATCTATTCAAAATCGCTTACTTAGCATCATATGTGTCACAATAATAACTATTTGTCGCCTACGTGGCGCGACACTTGGCGAAAAACTGGAATGCCAAGTGTCGCTGTCTCGTGGCCTGGCTGCGAGACCGACTTTATTTATTAGTGATATGATATGATATGATATGATATGATATGATATGATATGATAACGAAAGTTGGAATTATTTTGGGCGGACGGAGCAAAGTTAGGGTTATTCTTGACAATTTTCCTAAAATTTATTAATATAAAACCTTGGGCCTCACACGTACACACACCTTTCTTAATTATGTTTATTAGTTTAAGACAGATTGATGGCATTCCTATTGATTGAAGCTACTACAATTATAAATAGATTCATTTTGCATGTATATGATTATTCATTATTACTCTTGTTTTACGTAGAAAATTAGCCTTTAAAATCAGCTTCTTGAATTTGGAAAGCATGAAGAACTCAACGTTGGTCTCTATCCTTTTAGTCTTGTGCTTTCTTCTCTCATCAGGTAACTTAAATCTTCTAATAAATATTTACTTTTTGTTGCATAGTATTTTGTACTCCCTCCATTTCTTTTTATTCTAAGAAAATGTTAGTGGGAAGAACAAAAAGATTTATATTAGAAGAGTATAATGGTCTTAATGAACAATCTAATTTGTCCATTTATGCAACCTGAAAAGAAAATACATATTTCCTTAGTTCTAATTTGTTTTGCTTTTTTTTTTTTTTTTTATTGTCATTTTTTTTTTCCTATTATGTCCTAATTTAATTTGTGTCTTTCTATTTTTGCCACGCGCAAATATTGTATTTAAAGTTCTCATATTGTATTTTATTCAACTTGTACGTTTTGACCGTACTTATTCATTAAAACAACTACAATTGATAATCACACTAATATTTTTTATTAACATAGCAAGAAAACGCAAATTTTACCAAAAGCAATACATCAAATCTTATCAAAGATTTCAAATTCATGTTTAACTCAAATTCAGGCTTATTATAAACTAATATTTCATCTCATAATTAAGCATATATGATTCATAACTCAGTAAATTTGTACATTTTGGCATTATTATTGCATTTCTCTAAAAAGGCTTTATTATTTTATTTTTATTTTTTGGCTTGGAAATTCAGAAACAAGAGGTTGCATGAGCATGCCTTGTGGATTTATAGGCAAATGCACCCCAAATTCTTGCAAGAAAGTATGCGAAGGAATTGGATCACAAACACCCATTTGCATCTCTACTACTAATTGTTGCTGCCTTAGTGATCAACCAACAGCTTTGCACTACCTTTTTTATAAGCAACAAAAACTTCAAGGGAACTAATTAGCCTCTATCCTATTAATGTTTCCTTTAATGCCGCTTATTGTATGTATTCTTGTAATTTTAATCTACTCCATTCGAATTTAGTTGTTCAAGGTTAACCTCGATATTAATTTTGGACGGAGGAAGTAGTATTTAAACCTAAACACTTTTAACTATAAAGTTTTGACGAACGTCAAAATTGCATTTTATTGGGGTTTGGTCTGTAATAATATAATACAAAGTTGCTTGCTTTACATTCATTGAATGGTACGATACAAAGTTACTTCAACACCATGATAATATTTCTCTTGATGGAATAACTTCTAAATACAAGTATATCTTTTAGTAAACCTGAAGCATCTCCCTTTATGTCCAATTGTTCTTAATTGCCAAATTGGCAAGTTCAACTGGTTTAATTAGGTCATTTTATATGTTATATGCTTAATTAGCAAGAAAGAACAACTCGAAATTGTAAAGATGGTATCGCCATTATGCTCTACTTTGGTTTTATGCATATTTGTCTCTAATCGGGTAATTTATACCGGTTAATCACACAAAATGAGATTATGAATGAAATTAGCACGTCTAATATAGATGCTTGGAAGCCACCACCTACTAGGATTTAATTTGGGAATACAAACATCCGGAGTTACAATAGACATGTTGCACATTCCATAATAACCCATCAAGCCTAATAACACTTCTAAACAAGAGTGGGTTACATCGGAAAACTATAGCCGTTTGATCTAAACAGACACATCTTCTTGGATCTCGATCAATCATGAAAATACGTACTTTATATTCACACCAGAGGTAGCAAGAGCCACAGTATACCATGTGGATTTGTGGATACATAGGCATATGCACATGCACATGCACAATGGAAGCCTGCGAGAGAATATGCAGTAGCCCGATCACTCAAATGTATCTCATTACCCAAATGCATCTCAGACACTAACTGTTGGTCTGTTGCTGCCTTAATTGTCAATAGCTTCCAATCAAATGGTTGCATGCTACCCTGTTTTCTAAGCAAGAGAAGCATCTATGAAAAATTTCTCCCAGCTCTGAATATATTTTTTACATATTACAAAGTAATAAAAAAAATAAAAAAAAAAAACAAAGTTGTTCCTGTTGATTACATTGAAATCCATAAACTTCCTGTAAAGTTGTTCATACATCAAGTTTGCTAGCTATAACAGCCGATTCTTCGTTATCGTAACTTGCTACTCCAACCTCAGACTTATTGACCGTAGTAAGCTGAAAGCCAGCCCGGCTGTCATCTGACATTTTCGAATCTTTAACAAGCAATTACAGCCAGCAATATGAATTGCAAAATCACAGTTGAAGTAATTCAAATTTACAAATTAAAGTGGAGCACTTTCTATGATTCTATATCAAATCTTCAATATCTATTCTAAAGTTCTTGAGAACAAAATAGACATTGGCTCGATCAATGAACATGTATAAGAAAGGTATGATACAGTTGGGGGTAATCCCTTGTCCTAAGACTCCAGGAATAACCATGTCATCTGGACATTTGAGTTCTGGACCCTGAAGTACGAAAAAGGCAACATTAGGCTTGTTAAAACAGACAGCTATAACAAAAGATTTACAATCTATCCTTCCTAACTTCAAAGTACACCTTGCTAATTTTTTTTCTCCTTATTATATTGTCCTCTTTGGTTATTAATATATGCTTACCCAATCAACCCTTCTTTTCCCACTGCAATGTTAGTTTAAATTTGCTTACACCTCCTAAGCATTGACAATATCTCTGAGACTTGTTTATGTTTCAGCAGCATAGAGAAAGGAGGGAAGAGTTGTGGTTTCACAGCGCAACTATTCAAAATACATATAAGTTGATAAATTGCTTGTCTTAATAAGAAATCTAACTCTACAAACCCAAACACCTCAAGCAAATAGATAAATTTGACGATTGATAAATACATGGTATATGATACCAGTACGAGAGAATCTATGGAGAACAATGGCAAAACAATATTCCAACAACTAAAAAAAATGCTAGCCTTTCCTAGCAACATCAATGCTGCAGAAATAACATTTATTCAATCAAGTATAATAAACAACATTTACTGATTGAACACTCAGCAGGTAACAATATCAGATAATTTCAGATGCGTATGTAAGAGTCTGAAGGCAGAACAAAGAATGAATAGATTTAATGGTATAAAGCACACTTCAAGCATGTCACACATCCTCCCCCCCCCCCCCCCCCCCCAACCCCCTCAATTGGTCTTCTAAGTTCTTGACTTTAAATATTCTACAATTTTGCTTATAACATTCTTAAATGGGGATGGTAACACAGACACCAATCTGCTTCATCATTTAAATAGGCCCAATTGACTACAGATGCTCAAAACGTAAAGATGTTGTATATTGGGGGATTGGTACCTATGGATTATGAAGAGAACATTGACATTAAAACACTTGCAATTTGTTACTAGGATGCTTTATGCTACTACCGTCTGTAATCATAATGAAAGTGCCCTTGCATGGTAATTGTGGAATGGACTGTCAGGTTGGGCAAGAATGCTTTATTTGATTACTGAACCTGGATTGTGTATCCACAGCTCACTCTTCTTTTCTTCCTGGACACAAAATCACACTCTAAGATATTCACTGCATGCTACTTCTTACAATAACAAAACATCGACAGCCAAGCCAAATCGACAGGAACTTACTGATTTTTACTAAGTTGTTTAACTAATTACGAACATCATAGGAGCTTCGAAGATCTACTAAAATTATGTTTTTGTTTTTTTTTTTTTTTTTTGACAAAATTTCTTAATTTCTAAATTGAAATTTGAAGACCTGAGAAAAGGGTAAGGCAATGAGATGATAATTAATCTTGTTTATCAGCCGCTATAATGTTATCTAAAGTTTATCTTATGTGAATAATGCAGCTATAAGCCAGGACAAAAGTAAAAGACAAACTTATCTAATGCATCATCTTATAGTTATTAAAAAGATTATTTCCAGCACAGAACATAGGAATATACGAAAACATTATCCGAAAAGAAGATGATATGGAGGGGAGAGGGAAGGTAATGTGACAAAATAATGCTTACTCTAAAGGAAAGACAAGAAGAAATACCAGAGAGGTGGATTTACACTGCAAACTACAGGGCAAATTTGAACATTTACAAAGTAGATAAGCTCATTGGGTATTAAGATGGGGTGAGAAAATGGAGGGATAAAACCATATTGCACAAACATAAATTTCAAGTATAAGAGACATACCAAAGTGAAAATGTAACAGAGATGAAAAAAAGTGATACACTGCTCAGATTGATATCCAATGCCGTTGCAAGAGCCGTAGGGAAAACTGTAAAATCCAAAGGCAATCTGTCGCATTAGTTATCAGATAAGTCAATGTTAACAGTCCAATAGTAACACTAAAAGGTTTGGACCAAAATTGGATTTAGGAAAGCCTAATCTATTCCATCCAATGTACACCCCTATATATGGCGATTAGCATCTTACAAAACACATACTTCATAAGAAGTACAAAATTAAGAGGCTTTTGACCAAATTAAAACCTTAGTTAAGATTTTCGCTGGATAGCATATTCACTAAGTAATTTGGAACTAGAAAAGCTAATTTCCAAAGTGTTATTATAAGCGCAATACAAATTCAGCATTTTGAAGGCTTATATTGGAGAATAGTAAACTCCATTTAATCTTTTCATAGCAGTTTCAATTAACACATACCCTCATATGTTATTTTATATTTCCAAAATGCTACTCCTTATTAAATTGCTGACTAAGAGCTGCTAGTTTACCAAAATCTTCAACTAAATTGCTAGAGCTAACAACTACAAGTAAAACATCAGATTTGTCTCAGACTGAAGAAAATTAATCAGCAGTGAAGAAAAAAGATCATATCTGTTTCTGAACAAGTTTAGAAATAATTAAGCATTTAATACAGGAAATACATATTTCCAAACAATAAAAGCATTATTTAAAGTTAAAAAAAAAAAAAAAAAAAACATAAACAAACAAGTAGAACAAAATTCCCTTCATCCCAAGGATATTTTGATTATGACTTATGATTGGCAGAGGATAAGTAAATTCATCAACCCATAATAAGGTCTGTTCTTTCAAAGAACAGTTTGATTACAAGCTGAGGCCAAATTTTTGCAAAGACCAAACTGGTTTGTGCTGGCGCTGGGAGGTTTATCAGACAAGTTCAAAAATAGAACACTAAGTCGAAAGAGTTCATACATAATAGTAACTTACAGAATCAACCAAATCATATCATTGATCATTCTTCCAATATGCTGCAAAATAGGCACTGCCAGATATACACTAAGTCAGTTCAAAGCCATTCCATAAGTGCAGTCCCTAGCCTAGCAACCCAAACAAAGTCAAATTTAACAAAGACATAACAAAGGGCTTTATCAGTTGTCTAAATTTAAACAATGAACCAGACTTACCACCTCACCTTCATCTAACCAGCATATTCAAGAAAAATTTCAATTGTACCTCACCGCTGAGAAAAAACAAGTTACTATTGTTTATAGGGCAGAAAGAGCATATCCATGCTCACAAAGAGGAGCAATCAATGAGTCTAGACTGGCATAGATTGAGTTTGCTTCAGGATGGTTCTGGTCACCAGTAACGAAGATATGGACACTATTATTGACCTCAATCCAGCTATAACCAGGATTCTTGTTTATGTTTTGTCCCTTCATAGTCAATCTTAAATCTGACACTGCTTCATATTGACCAGCAGCACCATAAATATTTGACATTAATACATAACTTCCACAGTGTTCGGGATCAAGTTCATACATATGCTTGGCAGCAACTTCAGCAAAAGTAGAATTTCCATGGAGCCTACATGCTGCTAAAAAAGCCCTCCATACAACAGCATTACTCTCAATAGGCATTGTCAATAACAATTCATAAGCCTCATCAAGCTGCCCTGCCCTACCAAGCATATCAACCACACATGCATAATGTTCAATAGTAGGAGCCACACCATATACAGACTCCATTTGTGAAAGGTATTCACGGCCCTGCCTTAGAAGACCTGCATGACTACAAGCTGACAGAATAGCAATGAATGTCACCTCATCTGGTGCTATTTTTTCAGCACACATAAAGTCAAACATAGATAATGCCTCATTCCCTTGGCCATGCATGCCAAATCCCATGATCATGATATTCCAAGATGCCACATCTCTGTAAATCATCTTGTCAAAAACCATGTATGCATACCTCATACTACCACATTTTACATACACATCCATAAGAGTATTGTTTACCAGCAAGTGGTCAAAATCACTCACAGTTTTACTACTTCCAAGCCCATTGGCAATCATGTACCTATGGATTTCCTTAGCATGCAACAGAGCAGCCAGGTGAGAACAAGCAGGAAGTACTGTTGTAATAGTGACTAAATCAGGTCTAGCACCAGCGTCTAACATCCTGTGGAAAAGTTCCATTGCTCCATGTTGATCACCAGATTGTTCATGAACACTTAAAATTGTATTCCATGAGAATAAGTCCTTTTCTGCCATACACTCAAAGATCTTTGAGGCATCATCAACACATTTGCATTTCCCATACATATCAATCAATGTATTTGAAACTGAAACAACCGATTCATAACCCTTCTTTATTACAAAACCATGCATTGAACGTCCGTTAATAATGTCCGCACTCATAGCCAAGGCTGATAAAACCCCTGTAGCGGTGAAGTTATTTGGCATAGAACCATCTTCATTCATCCTCCTAAATACTTCCAAAGCCATTTCAAATTCCTCAATATGAACATAACCATTGATCATAGCATTCCAAAGCACAACATCCCTCACAAGCAACTCACCAAACACATTATAAGATTCACTCATAGCCCTGAATTTCAAATAGCAATTGACCAAAGCACTGCCAATAAATACATCCGATTCCAACCCAAACTTAAACAACAAAGCATGAATCTTTTTCACTTCAACAACTTCTGAACAGCCCTTAATTGCACAAGGAAAAGTAAACTTATCTGGCTGTAAACCTTGATGCCTCATATCCACATAAAGCTCAAAACCTTCATCATTTAAATTATTGCCAACAAACCCCGCAATGATTGCATTGTATGTAAAAACATTATGAATATCTTTGGATGTCAAAAACACAGACAATGCATAGGACATGTGATCACACTTAGAATACATGTTTATGAGGCTCGTAATCGATAAAGGAGACCCCAAAAGGTCGTGTCGAAGCATCCATGAATGAAGTTCTTTGCCTTTGTACAAATTGGAGTGCTTAGCAAACAGCTGTAAGAAGGAAATACATCCAGGAATGGTCGCAATGTTCGGTTCGAAAGGCTGTAGAGAGGATATTGAGGCAAGCCCAAGAGAGCAAAACCGAGGTCTACTAGCAACAACTGAAAAGAGATTACTTCTTCCATAAAACATGATACAAACAAAGTAATCCTTCCCTAATCCCTACCAAACTGTTTAGAATAAATTAACAACTAAAAAATCTTCCGGCCTTTCGGGTTCTAAAACCAGGCCCGTCGATGAGCATGGGCAACAGGGGCACCCGCCAAGATAATAGGTACATTTTCATAATTCAGTCCTAACATTAAAGGGTTATACACAAAAGTCTGCAACACAATAGCAACCGAGTTTGACTCAAATTAGGCTTGAAAATACGGATAAATTCTTCTTGCTTAAGATTATCGATGTATATTGCACATAGAATAATTCTAACAACAAAATTCCTAGTTATAATCTATCACAACTTCGGAGATTATAATCAATAGTTCAATAATTCACCTTAGAAGAACCCTAAATTACTGAACACAAATCAATGAAAGTGTGAAACTAAACCATTGACTGATATTAGTAATTAATGATTAAAGATAAAAATCTTATCTCAGAAGCTGTTTCAAAGGAGTTGAGAAAGCTCAGAAGCCGCTTCAATGGAGAATTCAAAGTGTGTTTCAATGGAAGAGATAGAGAGAAGGGTGCAGCACTGCAGCGTAAGAGTGTACATACGTCGTTTTTTCCCTTTTTTTTTTTTTTTTTTTTTTTTTTTTTAAAAAAAAAAACAATGAAGTACTCCGTATTAATCTCTCAATTTTTTTTTGGGTTTTTTTAATCGTGATTGTTGAGTTTTTAAAATGTACCCATACTTTTTCAAAATTACAGAATGTGCCCTCCAACTTAAAGTGTTTATTCAATCGTACTCTCTAATGTTAACCTAATGTTAATAATTGTGTTAACTATTAATTACCCGGAGAGAAACTTCAAGCCCAAATCGGGTTAGACTTATATAAAGGGATTAACATTAAGTATTTTTTCCAAATTTTCTCATCTACTTTTTCTTCATTCTTCAAAAAGCAACCATTGATATGTCAAAATCTCGGCGTACTTCTTTTCTTATTTCTCATCCGATTATTATTACTTTCTATTTTTCTTACAATTACTAACGTCAGAGGGTACGGATGATTAAACAACTTAACTTGGAGGGCACAACTTATAATTTTGAAAAAGTATGAGCACACTTTAGAAACTCAACAACCACAAGGGCATAGCTTAGAAAAAACCTTTTTTATTATTATTTTTTTTTAAAGCATATAGGTGGTTGGGTGAATGAAATCAAGAATGCAAATGGTATAAACTGGGTTAGACTTGTGCGATGCACGATTTTTTCAAAATTTAACAATTTAGCATAAGAGAAGATCAAACAAATCTAATAATGATTGATATTAGCCTTGTGAATCATTAAAAAAAAAAAAAGAAAAAAATAAATCCAATAAATTACAACAAAATAAAAAGAGATTTGAAAGCAAAAGGAAAAACAACACATTTTTTGTGTGGCTGGCAACAACATTTGTCGGGGTTACTTATTCAGGAGTTACTCGGACAGAGGTTACTCGGTTGGTCAGGAGTTACCCTTGAATAAATAACCCCGGCCGTACGGTGTGGCCAGCCGCATATAAAAATTTGTGAAGAAAAAAAAGTAGATTCGAATAAGAATAGAATAAATTTAAGCTATAATAGATGTAAAATTTCCTTTCAAAAAAAAAAAGATGTAAAATTTCATTGCACCACAACAATATGGTTGAATATATACTTGAATTTAGTTTTATTATTATTATTATTATTATTATTATTATTATTATTATTATTATTATTATTATTATTATTTGTATTTTTTTATATTCCAAATTTAAAGAGAAATTCAATGTACCGTATTACTCCACAATTTATAGTTAAGAGTCAATTTTAGCCTTCTTATAAAAAAAATCTGTTAACTATTACTAAAACAGAACATGCTTACATCATTTTGGGCACATGTCAAGCTATTATTAAAAAAAATTCCGTCAAAACAATATATGATGTCAGGTTAATATATATATATATATATATATATATATATATATATATATATATGTATATATATTGTTTTATTGTTCTATTTAGGTTATTTTTTGGAAGAACATTATATAGTTTTATTGGAAATAACAGGCATCTAAAATGTAATATAATGTAAAGACTGTAAAACTATGACTTTAAGGATTTTCAATACAACTAATCTACAGTATAAATAAAATAAAATAAAATAAAAAAAATTCTCAATTTAGTTTTCATAATTTTTTCCTAATTATTTCATTTAATTTAAATTTTCTTCTACACATTGCATTTGTTTATTCCACATGAGTTCCCTTATTATATCACAAATTAATTTAGGAAAAAAAATTATTATTACCGTGCATTGCACGGGCACTAATCTAGCTAGGAAAAAAAATAAAGGACGTTTAGGCATGAAAAGAAAGAAGGAGAAGTTGACACGTGTATAACTTGGGAGAAATGATGATTTCAGCGGCTGTTATTTTAGTAATGGTTATATATTTCATTAAAAAAATTGCTCAAAAAAACAAAACTTCACTAAAAAAAAAGATAATTTCTGTCTCTAAGTGTTCTTCTTAATTTGACCGGACAAATTTGTTAAACACATCTTTCACTACTCCATATCTATTCTATTAACTATTACTAAAATAAAACGTTACTGACATCATCATTGTCCACCGTCATAATATTTTTTTTTTCACGCCTAAATGCAAGGATGATGTCATTTTTTTTTGTTGTTTTTTTTTGTGTGTGTGTGGAGCTACCATATTTAACAATTTTGAAATTTGAATATTAGAAACTTCTACATTACAACTATAACCTATCAATTTATCCTTAAAAAAATGAAACAATTGTAAATAGCACACTAATAAATGGACTCCTAAATTGAAATATGTATTAGGCAACATTGAACAGGTATTATATCATAATTTTGATGAAAATATAAAATTTTAAAATTACAAATATTTTTGTACAAGGTGCATAATTCTTATTTATATTTATCCTTTTTTAAAAAAACAAAATGTACAAATAACAAAAATAGATTTTATATAAATCGTACATCGCACGGGTTCTAACTTAGTTAAAATAAATAATTATATACTTGTATGTCAACTACATTAATTAGTTAAAGTATTTAACGTAGTACCCAATGTTTCATATCAAATCTCTTCTATAATATTAACCTTGTGGCTCTCCTAACACAAACAAAAATAAAATAAAATAAAAACTAAGTTTATATGAAACATTGGGTACCACTCTAAATAAAATAAAAACTTTAGGGAGTATTTTATAGCAATTGTATACTTCATTTATGGTACATTTGGAAATTATTTTAAAGATTCCTTCAAAGTTCAAACTATCTCGTATTTAGGGGTAATGTGAGGAGTGAAAAGTTAGTGTCTCGACATAATTAAAGAAATACTTGTATAACAATGGACTTTTTGTAAGAAACTATCTAATAAAACCTAAATTTTGTGAGAAACTCCTTAATAATAATAAAAAATAAAAAATAATAAAAAAAATAATAAAGAAAAAAAAGGTTGTAAGAAACTACCCAATAAAAGGTAAAATGTTGTAAGATACTACCTTTGACCGAATTTCCATTGTTGACTTAATTTTACGATGTTGATCCACCTTAAAACAACCACTGAAACCACCGTGAGGGTTGGTTTTCATGGTGGTAAGGTTATTTTCGGGGTGGTTGGAGGATATTCCGAGTTGGTGAGGGTAATTAGTGCTTCGGGATGGTGGTTTTTGGGGTTAGAGGTGGTGGGTTTGGGGTTGAAAGGTGGTTTAGGTGTGGTGGAGGCGATTTCAAGTAAGTTGTGATAGTTTTGGGAATGAAAGCGGTGGTTTCGAGAGTGTTTTGAGGTCGATCAACGGTGGATGGAAATCCGGTATAGGTAATATTTTACAACATTTTACCATTTCTTAGGTAGTTTTTTACAACATTTTTTTTATTAGGTAATTTCTCACAAAATCTAGGTTTTGTTAGGTAGTTTTTAACAAAAAAGTCCTATAACAATTGATAATTAATTGACTGGCTTAGGAAAAACTTGGGCAATAAAATTAACGAGTACTACAATTTTGACAAACTAAATAAGTAATGATCTGGAGCAACTAAAAAAGGTTCAATGCCCCTTTTATTCACATTTTCTATCATCTAATTTTCAAATTTTAACATGTTTTTTCCTTGGTGACAAAATTGAATAAATGAGTACAGTAATTAATTTTAAAAAATTTTGTGTGCATTGCGTGCATATGGAGTAGTATAGTATATGCAAACAGATTAACTTAATATGTATGTCTTGATGATAATCCGCAGTGATTTGTTGAAAAAATGCTTTACAATTTATCCAAAATTGAGTACTACAATGTTTTGCAATGAACAAAATTGGCAATCACACACATGTACAGAAGTTTGCTAATAACACCTTCAGCCTAATTGGAGAAAGCAGTAAAATTTCATGTCTTCAGTAATACATGTACAATCTAGTATAACGGTACAAAAATGATACAGCAAGCAGCCTGACGGTGTATAATACGAACAGAGGCAGCCGCTTTTAGCTGGGAGGGTTCATGTATGGTATGCCCATGTATCACCTGAACTGTGTCTGCCATCAAAACCTGCAGCTTTGGCAGCGATCCAACAAGAAGTTTGAAGACAAATTACGTTGTGTACATACAGTTTGCCTGGAGAAGATGTTTGATGCACTTTTTACAAGTTGATTTTAAGCTGAATGTGTCCCCATTGAGGGAGCCCTGCAAAATAAGGCAAAGCTTTAGTAGATTTACCAAAAAAAAAAAAAAAAAGGGAAATGCAAACCAGAACTTCTAAACAAACTTTAAAAATCAATTCCCACCTTCTGATTCTATCAATGTTGTGGAGATAATTGAATATTGAGGTAAAACAAAGTTTGGAAACTTTACTTCAATTTGTTGTAGTGCCCCTTTGTGTAAAGAATATATTTTCCCAACTCACTTTTAACTAGAAAAAGAAATTGAATTCTATAAATTCAATGATGTGAAGGTGCACTAAGCATTGAGTCAATAACCTATAGATCCAGACCATCAAGCAAACATGCATGTAATGGGCAAAAACGCAGGGATTTTGACCAGGAGGTGCCAAAATAAGCAAACTTTAAGTTGAAAAACTCTTGGAGAGAGTGATAGCTGAGTCTAACATAGGTGCACATCAATGTGGTCTTGGCCTAATGGCAAAGACGACTGGCCTGTGTAAGTCACAGGTTTGAATTACTTCTACCCTTTGTTATTTGTAATGTCCTTGTAGCTCAATCGGACCAAAATAAATACTACGTAAACAAATAATAGGTGAAATGGAAAGAAAGGAAATTTTTTAACTCAATCAAAAGCTGTTCACGCAGTTCCTCAAGGATTGATGCAAAATTTTAACTGGAAGAAGTATTTTTGATGCATGTACAAGGAAGCAACTCCTTTGAAAAAATACTTTTTCGGGCATTTGGCTACAGATGCTGAGACTTGTTGCATTTATCCATGGGGATCTACCAGCAGAATATGTTCTTAGATTGTTGAACAGTAAAATTGGACATAGCGTCACATGATGAACAGAAATTTAAGGTATATAAGGCATGGACACAAATTGTGTAAGTTATGCAATATGGTGTAGAAAGAAACATCAATAGTTCAGAAGGTAGACCTATTAATTGTGGGCTGGATCTTCTGACAGGACACGGATTATACTAATATTAACCCAATAAAAAACTTGCTCCCTCGCTCTGTCCCTTTTAATTTTCAATTTAACTTTCCCTACCAAACTTCTATCCTGATATTGATAACTATATGAATTACAGAGTAGTAAAAAGAAAAAAGGATTTTGTAAAAGTATGTTCAACCATGAAGCAAACAATATAATTGTCGCATCACCAAGCACTATATCATGCATTAACAGTGTAGAAATTAATTTTTTTTTAAAAAAAAAAGGTTAGTTTGTCTCCCCAAGAAATGGAATGAAGAAGCATGATTATATGGAATCTAGTGTCACAGTGGGTGACATGAACATGAAAATTTGGTTCTCGGATAATTCTTGGATAACCTTACCTAGCTAGGACAAAAGGGTACGTATTTTCTGATGTTATTGACAGACCTAAGTTTTTTTTTTTTTTTTTTTTTTTTTTTTTTCTTTTTTTCTTTTTTTCCCAACGCATATGATAAGAGGAATGGGGGTATAAAACTAAGTATAGACCCTACATACCTTAACAAACTATGCCTCTGAATAAAGGTTTCTTCATTGATGATGCCAAGGTATTGGTTTATATAGAAGGTAGTCAATTATGTGTGGTTCAGGTAATTGAACTTCACAATCACAGGAGTTAAAATGTTAGTTGATCCTCCCTAGTACACAAAAAAAATATATTATATAAATTAAATTAATGGGAAAAAAAGTTTAATAGCTCCACTCACACATGATTACAGGAACAACTTCCAACTGTCCAAATGTCAAACCTCTTTCTGTGAGCCCACAGAACTGGTGATGCGAATAGTCATGCAAGCTAATATACTACATATTAGGAAATTTATCAATCAAGGTACAATCAGTTTTTCAAAAAGAAAAGGAGATATGCAAGAAATCAACTTGCCAAACAACGGACAGGTAGATCAATGGAACACGATAGCAGATAATATGAGTCCCTTTCCCTCTCTTTTAATATCCCTACAGCAACTTATGAGATAAAAAGAGACAACTCCCCTGAAATAAGATTCCACTACCGCAAGCAATGCTTACATTAAATAAAGCTGCATATAAATTGCCAACTCATTGACCGATCAGGATGCCCATTTCAGAAATCTACTTTTACTAATGTAATTCACACTTATCCAGCTATCCCAAGTGTAACTGGAGTAAGATACTTTCCCAATCAGAAGTTCTACACAAAGCAATGATTGAGTAAAATAAGGGGGGAAATCAAGGGAAAAAGTCAGCAATACTGTAACTTCCAAATTCCAATAAAGTAACTCAGTCAAGTTCCCTTGTGGGAGTGGGGGTCATTAAAGAATGAACTATGAAGTTCTTCTGCATTGATGCAAATTCGTACCTCATAGAATCAAAAGGTTTCAAATGCCATCATGATGATCATCGGACTCTTCAAGAATGACATACTTTGCAGGGATATTAGTCGCTCCTAACTGCTCCCCGGCATTTTCATGGACTTCACCTTTCTGATGCTTCTGATATCTAACCCACAAACAAAAAAAAAAAAAAAAAAAAAAAAGGTAAGAGCAGAAGCTAAGCATGAAAAAGATAAAAAATTTACCTTATTTTTTGTTATATCTCAATTGAAATTCTTTTCACTACTTTTTATTTATTTTTATTTTATTTTTTTATTATTATTACAGTTATCAGCAACATATTACTGCGTATAGTTTTACTGGATATTTTCACCACTAGTTTGAGACATGAAGCATAGACATTAGAAGTACAGTATGGTAATAGTAAATAATGGTGGTATGTAGTTGTAATGGACTGGTTTTCTAGCTTAATATTTCAGATTTGACAATGCAAGTAAATAAAGATTAAAGCTTGAATATTGATTGAAATTGGCAAGGGGGTTACAAAGATAGGTTAATAGCTATCTAGAATGATTCTAGAGTAAGTTTTTGTCTCATGTGCACAGGTGGCATCTTTGGTTCATTGCCAATTTTCCCTTATCATGTACTACGTGTGATGGCTACTAACATACTAAGTTACCCGTAATACCCTCCCCTAAGTCAGTTCCTTACAGTAGTCTGTAGTCAACTTGTGGTACTCCAGGACTTCAACAATAAAATTAGATTCAAAAGCAAACAGCAAACATAAAGTTCTCGATGTCTGTAAATTGGTGGATAAAGATCAGAAAAATTTGTTTCAGGTGATAAAAGCACATTGAAAATCATTTTTATGACGTAACCTAAAATCGTAAGCTACATCACAACAAAGAAGGTCATATTGGCTTGTACTTACTTGTACCAATTAAATAAACCGACACCAATCATGATTATCAGAAGACCGATCCCTTTCAACCAAGTAAAGTCATCATGGAAGTAAAAGACAGCAACCTGAAAGCAGTAAATAGGAGTTCAGTAACAGCCATCAGATCTTTGAGAATAAATTTTCAAGTTGATTAACTTTCAGGGGAAAAAAAAAAGGATAATCACTGGTAAAATTTTAAATGCAAAAACAAAAAAGGTCATTCATATCATCAATTAACAGCCCAAACAGACGCGGAAAGCACGAATATCATCTGAAGTTAGGACAATCTTAAATCTTAGCTGAGTTAGCTCTCACCTGGTCTTCATCTATATTTCATGATCAAGCAGTGACAATGGAGATATTCTTCAAAATGACAATCTCAAATCACTCACGACAATTATACACATATCTTGCAGGTAGATCAAATAATTTGACGCTGTTTCCTTATCATATTTTTTACAAAAAAAAAAAAAAATAATAATTAAAAAAAAAAAAAAAAGTTTAACTCATTCCTGAGATTATTTAATCTTTTTCTTTTCTTTTAAGCCAAAGAAAAGTGGGATCTTTCCTCTTCAGATGATTTTTACTAGGTACCCTGCCACTGCAAATCTTTTGAAGTTGACTTTCTTGGTTTACCCTTTAGTTAGCATAAACTGGAAAGGACTCCAGAGTCCAGACAAGAGAAGGATTTAAAAATTTTGGGCCGACAAGATGTGTCACTAGTAAGCACTAATAAGATAATAATCAACATTTCAGTTCAAAACGAATGGCACAGAGCTTATATTTCCTGTTATCATAAAAGCCAACTTAATATATAATTCAATACAATTCAAACTGGAAAGGACTCCAGTAAATAAAAGAATTTAAAATTTTTGGGCCAACAAGGCGTGTCACACTATCAAGCAATTTATCGTTTGTTTTTTTAGGATGAGGCTAACTTCCTCTATAGTTGAATGTTTAGAATTAGTGGGAGAATGATTTTCTTGGACAAACATTTTCAGATTCAGCATATTATAAATTTCAATACAATTTTTTGGGTTTTTCCACAACACCGGGAACATACACTTCTATGAGTATCTCAGTACATAGGAGACAAGACTGAGATTATTTCAGCCACGTCTCATATAGCAATATAGCATTACAATAAACATTTCAACTTCATCTTCACAAGTCCATGAAATGAAACTAAATCAAATTAGGCAAGAAAACATATTTTTAGTCAAACCTGCAAAGATAGATTATGTTCCTTTTATCAACTATCCTAGATTACTTGTCAAGTTGTCATATCTAAAAATCATGACCGACAATAAGACTAGGAATTTTTGGAACAGAGCATGCATACTACAAATGCCATAGCATCAATTGCCTGAAAGTTTACCAACATCTTAAGTAAATATTTACTCTTGTTTTACTTACTTTTTGGCAAGCAAATTAAGATATTAGACTCGGTAAACAGACAAATTAATTGAAATAATTTTACCACGCTAAAAAAAAGTATTAAGTTATTATGGTTTAAAACTTTAATTTTTATAGCTTAATCTGTTTGTTTACCTTTTCTAATCACTTCTTCAAATAGCGTGCCAAAAAAGAGTGTTGCAAGTATTTAAAAAAAAAAAAAAGAGGAATATTAAGCTTCTACAAGTGCATGTAGGAAATGCTATCTATGACAAGTATATGGAAAACTGAAAGCAGACAACCAATAGAATCACAAAAGGCCAGTGAACACAAAAACAGCACATAGAATAACAGATATAATTATGACACAATTACATTTTCACAACTAATGGGAAAGTTTTCTGGAAGTGTTCATACAATTATGGTAACGGCCTCCTTAACAATACCCGCTACTGTGACTGTCATGGCACTAGTTACTGAGATCAGAACATACTCTGTCAGTACCTGGAAAAAAAAAAAAAAAAAAAAAAAAAAAAGACATCAGAAGGAACTTAAGTCTGACTCGCTTATGTGACCACCGGAAAATTAAAAGTACTTTGTATAAGTTACCATAAAGAAGGCCAAGGTACCGCCAAAAAGCATGAGCAAACAACTTCTTGTGATATGGCAGGAGCTGTTAAAATATTCATTCTGTGGGAACTCATGCCAAGGGTCCAACAAAAGTGACATCAAACCAGTCGCCAGTGCCATTATAGGGGTCACATAGCTCATGAAGGTAAGTGGATTCTTTAAACCTGAGGGGAAAAAAATTCAAATTTTAGCAGTTGGCCACAAGGCTTTTAAGCAAGTAGATTAAGTTTAGAAAGTCACTTCATGATGGCATTAAGGCGTACAAAAGAGGCTAACCTCCACTATTCCCCCAACCATCCCCCCCACCCAAAAAAAAAAAAAAAAAAAATCTAGTGTCTTGCAGCAGTCTAGTTAAAGAGAGTACATAATTAATTAGTCATTATTTCCAAGATGAATTATAATAGTATTTTGGTAAGAGACTATGGCCACAACATTGTCATAAATTGCTTATGTTCATAATGGATTAGCAAACAAAACACGGTACTCACCATAGGATTCTTTCTTCAGCGCAGTTTTTTGTTAACAGCAAATACAACCACAATGCAAATCAACCGGCCATGGCAAAAAGAAAGTTAGGATTGAAACAACAAAACCAAAATCAAAATTGTCAAACTACAGCAGCAAGCAGCCTTAAGAAATCATCTATCATGACCATTGAGCTTACTAATCTCAACAACTAAGCATAATATTGGAAAATTGAGCATGGAAGTAGCAATACCTGGAGCAGAATCTGTGTCATACACCAGCGAAATCCAGACATAACAGCAGCAAGCATAACAAAGATAAATCCCCAAAACTCAAATTCTGTTTCCTTTGCAACTGCAAGTAAAAGAAAATATGAATATGTCAAAAGTAATTCCATTAGCCACTGTATTAGCAATAACATCAAGCACTGCTAACTGCTGTTTTGCAGCTACTGTTAACCCGATAAACAGGCACAGCCACAGACAAATACAGATCGTCATAGCCTTTTTGCTTTGCAGAAATAAGGTTACAAAATTCAATGCATTAGACCCAACCTAGGGTCCCTAGTGTTATTTTCAGCTCTTCTACTTTTATAAGACCTTGTTTACATCCATGGCCATGAAAAGATTGAGGAAAAAAAAAAAAAGTTGAACATACCCGTCAAAAGAATTCCAAATGAGATGACTAGAATGATTCCAAAAAGTTTAAGACTTGGAGACTCCAACCTAAATCAACCAAGATACATTAGAAAATTTATATCAAGAACCAAGAATGTCAAATTCAAGCGGCAAGAATAAGCATATGAATGTCATAACATATTTGATACTTAGTTATAGTAGGAATGGAGATTAATATTGATATACCTGAGTACTAACAAAAGTACATCCCCTATCTACGAAAAGAGGTAGCTATCTTTTTGTTTTTTGTAGCTATCTAAATTTGTAAAAATACCCAAAAAAAAAAAATGAAAGCTAAAAATGGATTTTGTCCTATCATAGCATTACTGAAACTTAATTTATATTAAAAAAAATATCAATATCACCTCATCTTGCCTTAGAGGATTTTAAAAAAGGCTCTGTGCATTGGCAAAAAGGGTTAAAGGGGTGTTTTGCTTGGGAAAGTAAGAACAAATTAGAAATTAATGAAAGTTCTTGCTGAAGCTTACTGGTAGAAACCATGAAGCTGTTAACCCTATAGTAGATAGATTGGAATTGAATGTTGACCATCCAATGTTAGATGATTTTACTAATCCTAAAATCTTGTATATTCACAGCTCACTCTTCTTTTCTTCCTGGATACAAAAGCGCACTCTAAGATTTTCACCCCATGCTACTACTAATACGAATGACACATCAACAACAACCAATTGGCAGGAAATTCTAGTACAATTATGTTGAAACGGTAACAAGAAAAATTCTTATTTTCAAATTTAAAAATAAAATTTGAATACCTCAATTTGGAAGAGGAAAAGGTAATGCATAGAGATGAAAGTTAACTTGATTGTCAGCCTCTACAGTGTTATCTATACTCTCTAGCTTTATGCGAATAGTGCAACTATACGACTAGACATGAATAAAAAGCAAACTTTTTTAATTCACCATTTAATAATTTTCAAATTTTTTTTAGACGATTAAAAAAAAAGGGGAATAAATCCATCGTAGAACTTAAGAATATGCAAAGACATAATCAGAAAAGAAGTAAGACGATTTGGAGGGGAGAAGGAAGATATGACAAGGTTTGCCTACCTGAAAGCAAAAGCAAAGACAAGAAGAAATATCGGAGAAGCGGATTTACACTGCAAAATACAGGAAAAATTCGAACAATTACAATTTTACAAAGAAGATATGCTCATCAGATTTAAAGAAGGAGCTAGAAAATGGAAGCATAAACCATACTGAACAAACATAAATTTCAAGTATAATGGACGAACCATAGTGGCAAATGTAACAGAGATGAAAACAAGTGATGCATTGCTCAGATTGATATCCAATGCCGTTGCAAGAGCTGTAGGGAAAACTGTAAAAGGCAGAGACCATCTGTATTGTTAGGTATCAGATAAGTCAAAGCTATATTGCTAACAGTCTAACAGTAACAGAAACTTTTACTACAAAAAAATTTAAATAATGACATTAAGTCATCCATCCATCTGCTAGCTATAGAAAGAGACTACAGCACACAACATGCCCCTACAGTTCCAAATAAAATAATCAGTGTAGATTATCCATATATTTTTTTGTTTGGGGGGGGGGGGGGGTAGGAGGTGAATTGGAGGGATACAGCGAGGTTTAGAGGGAAACTTGGTAACATCTTGCTAACTCATTTTAAGGTACAAACCCAATCCCCGACCCCCACCCTCACACCCTCTACTAGCATACAATAAGAGCTATGTACATCATATGCTATTAGAGGCTAAACACAATCTAATTTCAAATCTAGAGTATTTTTTATTACTACGCTGTGAACTTCTTACTCCATTAACAGGCCAAGTAAGCAAACAAAGCAATGATGTGCGCAAAATCCAAGATAAGTAATGGTGTCGGCATAAGCCAAGACAAGCAATGCCATGTCATAGACAAGATACTTACAGCTATTGTGCAAGTGGCCAGTCCAGTCCTTTCCCTAGGATCTTTAAGGTAGTAATTTCTGAAGTAAAGGATTGTAGCATTAAGTCATGCCCTTACAGTTCCAAATAAAATAATCTGTGTAGATTATCCATATTTTTTGGGGGGGGAAGGTGAATTGGAGGAATACAGCGGGGTTTAGAGGAAAAACTTGGTAAAATCTTGCTAACTCATTTTTAGGTACAAACCCAATCCCCAACCCCCACCCTCACCCTCACCCCCACCCCAACCCCAACCCCCACCCCCCTCCCCCCCCCCAAAAAAAAAAAAAAAGAAAAGAAAAAGAAGAAAAGCATTCCTCTCAATCCACATAATTTTTCCCCATCAGTCTTCCTCCTTCACGATACAACATGGCGCTAAGTACAAAGCTTCAATTGGCCAAATAGTTTCAACCCATCTTTGGTCTCTTTCAGTCACCTTAAACCACATTTTTCACAGGCCAGTCGAATAAAGGAACAACAATACATGTAAATGAAGATCAATTTCAAAACCTTGGTATTCCCCACAGAAAGTGAAATCTTATGGAAGGTAATATTCACGAAGCCCCAATAAAAAAAGAAAACAAAAAAAAAAAATAAAAAATAAAAATCTTAGACCAAAGTCCTTCAAACCTAAAAATCACAAAACACCATTTAATTGTCGCATTGGGGTCCAACACCAACACATGTGGGATACACTTAAATATGCGTCGAAAACCATGTCTGGTTTTGATTTTTTGATATTTTGAGACACTAGGACACAAATGCCACAAGGGCACAAGGAAACTAAAAACAAGATGAATCTAGCAAGATCCTACATGGTTATTGTTTTGAAAATATATATTTCATTAAAGTAAAAGAATTCATTTGCAACGGAATATCTCAAGATTCCAAATGAGATAAATTTTATTAAAAAAAAAAGGAGTCGAGTGATCTTTTGAATAAATAATCACAATCCTTTTTTGTGAAAGTTATGATTTATGTGCCCCACTTTTAGATTGGCATTTTATCATGTCAATTTTGCATTTGTACCATGTCCATATCGATCTTGTGTAACCTAGCTTAAACCTATAAGATAACAATTGATAACTTTAGCCATAGCCAAAGGAGCTATTGTCTGAGAGCTTCAAAGGGCTATGATTTAAGAATAAGCATAATAAAATTATTGTCTTCAATCACTAAATCTTAAGGGATAATATCTAACTAGTTTTAATAAGATGTCCAACATTTAATGTCATAAGAGAACATAATTGAATCGAATTGGAAACCAAATAAACTTTGTAGAATATAAACCAAAGTAATTAAACTGGCATACCTTTAGAAAAATAATCCCTCCATGTCATGCGTACACCTTTATGAAATCTTTCATACCAAATGTAAGTAATAGCTCTAGATAAAACAGCTTGCATAGCAAAGTGAAATGTGTTCATCAACAAGGGAGCTGGGAACTTCCCCATATGATCCCCTAATAGAGATTTATTATACCTAGGCACAACAAATTTACAAGTATTAGGATGTTAATCGCTTTGGCAAGGAACAAAAGATGATTTCAATATATTTAAAACAAGAAAAAGAGAGGGGGAGAAAAAGCATCCTAACTAACTACAAATAATGCTATCCGACAACTACACTAATATACCAGAAGTGAATTCCCTATTTGCCTTGGATATCAAGGGTAAATCTTTATCTTACACAATACGCTTCACAATACGCTTCACAAATAGAAGCTTAGAACATCCAATTTTGCTACTGACTTCTCAACACAACTTGTATACATATTTCTTCTTAGGAAAAACAAGGCTATTTTACAAGACGGTCTGTGTATACCTATCCATAAGCATAATATCACTAAAACAGCATACTCCCAAACCAATCATATTAAACCATATTCTCTATAAGTTATTAAAGTTTAATACTTTCTACAAAAAACTAAACACCCGTTAAAACATGATAAATTTGGTAGAACGGTAATTTAGTGCTTTTAGATTAATAATTAATGACCAACTTAATGTAAGGATTTGAACTAAGAGTATATATGAAGTACATAATGACTAGCATAATCTTTTTATCCCCTTCAATCCCTCAAAGAAAAGCCTTCCAATAACAAGATACAGGATGGAATGTGGAACCATTAAGTTCTCAATTCTGAGTCTCTGACACATTTGTATAGTTTGTCCTAGTCCTAAGATGGTTGCTTAAATCATCATAAGATGCAACATTATTGTTGTGCCAAATATCATGACAATTTTTAAATCACCGTATATAACACCATTGTTTCTCTTCAATCTCCAATTTTCAAAGTTGACCCATTTGTTCCTCACTACAAAGCATAAATAAGCATGTCCATCCAGTACCAAAATGGTACCATAGAATAATGCAAATAGACAAAACCAACTTGCGAAGCATCTTATGACGCTACACTATCAAGAACAAACACTCATACATATAGACCAAACTCCAATTTCCTCAATACACTATTTCAAACTCTTAGCAGTTACAATCGTGCTTTTGCCAAGCAAAAAACACCCAAAATAATAGAGTTTTAAAGTAAAAATGTTACATAAAAATTGGCACGGCATACATATTCAGTTGTCAACATAAATTAGATTGTCGAATTGGCTTGCCGACAATTTACACAATACACATTGAGTTTATACCAAATCCTTACCATCCCAAGCACTCGATTAATCAAGTAATAAAAAATAGGTCCTAATTCAGAATCAAACTCAATCCATAACTCACAATTCCAATACAAAAGCATATTTCTTAAAAGTAGGAATAGCTAAACTCGAAATTAGAGCAAGAAGATTGACTTACAGTGTCAAAAACAAGCTAAAAGTGTACCAAACACAGATAAAGAACAAAGTCTTGAGCACATTAGCAGGTGAGATTTCAGTCTTGGAATCCGAATCCTGAATACTCCGATTCCCATTCCCTTCGTTTTCAACATTAAAAGGAACATAACTCTCATTCCCATTCCCATTCCTATCATCTCTCTCCAAATCACCAGGTTTGTCCATTCCAATTCCTGGCTGATCAAATGGCAGTTCAAATTCGTCGTCGTCGTTGTCGTTATCGTTGTCGCTATCGCCTTCGCCTCGTCGTAGATGATGAGTTTGTCGGAGCTGGTTGAAATCGCACCAGCCAGAAAACGAAGGCTCACGACTGAGAGAAGGGCGGGTTAACAGCTCATTGTGCTCTAATGGCGACTCAGTGGGTATCATCTCCTTCCATTAGAGCTCCAATTACAGAGGCATGATCTTCGACGAATTTGCAGATCGATGAGAGAGAGAGAGAAAGAGGGGGTGGGCGGGAGGAGATCGGATCTACGAGAAGGAAGGTGGGGATTTTGCTTTGTGGAATGTCAAAGACTCAATTGTCAAAATGGGTTCAAACGTTGTCGTCGTTTGGTGTGGGTTTGTTGGAAGGTAGAGGTGATCAATTAGTCAATTACGGTCCGGTCCACTAACCTGGCCTCATCCAGCTCGAGAAAAGGATGGGTTTGGATAAGCTAAAAAACACTTTTTAGTTACCAGGGTGGGTCGCGCTAGATCAAGCAAACAAGTCGTTCGGGTCAGGTCAATTTCGGTCAGCAAATATTCGGGTCGGGTCGGGTCAATTCGGGTTTTGGGTCAACACTTCAGGTTAAGTTCGGGTCCGGTCAGTTCGGGTCGGGTCAGTTTGGGTCGGGCCAATTTTTAGGATCAATTTTCAAATCAATTTCGGGTAAGCTCAATTTCTGGTCGAGTCAATTCGGGTAGGGTGCATTCGAGTCGGGTCAGTTCAGGTCGGGTCAAGTTTGGGTCGAGTCACCAAAATAAATTCAATTAAAAAAATAGTTGGAAAATAAAGTAAAATCGTTAAGAAAATAAAAAAAATCGCGAGTACCTATTACTTAGGAAAGAAAGAAGCCCTAAAATAAGTAATTCACCATTTCACCCTATTCACTTCAGGAATTGGGTCACTTCGGGTCGGGTCGATTAGGGTCAATCAATTCAGGTTTACATCAGATCTAGTCACTTCGGGTTGGGTCAAGTTCGGGTTTTGGGTCAATTTCGGGTCAGGTCATTTCAGGAATCGGGTCACGTTCGGGTCAACTCCATTCGGGTTGGGTTGGGTAAGTTCGGGTTCGGGTCATTTTCGGGTCAATGGTGTCGGGTCAACTTTTGGGTCATGGGCCGAGTCATTCGTGTCGAGTTAGGATTGCCAGGTCTAGCTCGCGCGTCATAGCAGCCACATCCGTGGAGCTTTTTTGGTTTAGATTTATGGAGTATGTTACTTCTTTAGTTGTTGCCATCATAACACTACACGAAACCAACAAATTGGCAACGGTTCAAACCCCCCCAAAGGCAACGGTTTTGAACCGTTGAGTATTTGAGGGTTGCCAAATTCCAAAAAAATTGGCAACGGTTCAAAATCGTTGCCAACTCAAGCAATTGGCAACGGTTAACCGTTGCCATTGACCATGCCGCATTTATTTTTTGTTTTTAAAAGTAATTGGCAACGGTTAACCGTTGCCAATTGCTTGAGTTGGCAACGGTTAACCGTTGCCAAAGCCAATGGCGCGCTTTTTTTTTTATTATTTTAAAACATTGGCAACGGTTAACCGTTGCCAATGACCTGTATTGTTTTTTTTTTGGCTGCACTAATATTGACCTGTTTTTTGTTTTTTTTTTGCTGCACTAATATTGACCTGTTTTTTTTTTTTTTTGCTGCAATATTATTATTATTATTTTTATTAATAATAATTATTATTATTATATTAATAATAATAATATTATTATTATTATTATTAATAATTATTATTATTATTATTATATTAATAATAATAATTATTAATATTATAATATTAATAATAATAATAATAATAATAATAATTATTATTATTATTATATATGATAATAGTAACAATAATTAGTAACATTAATAACAAAACATAAATAATTAATAATAACAATCGCAAGAGATGATATAATAAATTAGAAAAATGTTTCATGTATAGTACATAATTAATAAGCTAAGGCTAGGATTGATGAAGAGATTATATAGTACAAAAATGTATGACGATATTTACAAATTAAATGTGATGTAGGTCACCAACATCTCCCGAATTACATGGAGTTCCTCGCTCGTGTATGGAAGTCCCGTTTGCCCCTTGCAAAACTTAGAATACACAAAACGTGAGTTATTAGAAGTGAAATAATAATAATTGGGGTTAGTTATAGGTGACTAATGCTTGAGATTACAAGAAAAGAGCAAGTAAGAGGTTTTGGGACGCAATTTCAACCAAAATGGCTCAAGTAAGGCCATTTTGGCTACTAGGATGCCTATTTTCTATATTTCTTGTCTATTGAACTCATAACTAGTTAAAACATGTCATTATCACTTAGTTATAGGTGACTAATGCTTGAGATTACAAGAAAAGAGCAAGTAAGAGGTTTTGGGACGCAATTTTAACCAAAATGGCTCAAGTAAGGCCATTTTGGCTACTAGGATGCCTATTTTCTATATTTCCTGTCTATTAAACTCATAACTAGTTAAAACATGTCATTATCACTTAGTTATAGGTGACCAATGCTTGAGATTACAAGAAAAGAGCAAGTAACACTAGTAGAAAAAAAGAATTAGGCAACCCCCCTATGGCAACGGTTCATGAAAACCGTTGCCAACTTGCTGTGAGCGCCATTTTAAAAAAAAAAAAAATGGTTTTATTTGGCAACGGTTAACCGTTGCCAATTGATAAATTTTTTTAAAAATAAAATAAAAAAATTAAAAGGGGTAGATTGGCAATTTAAAAAAAAAAAATTCGGGTTTTTGAATACAAACAGCAAGCTGTGCACTAACGTTCTTCTTTCACCTCCAAAAACGCGCACCTTCCTCTCCCCAAACCATTCCTCCATTGAATTGAAGCTTCCATTGAAGGGTTTTGTTCTTCTGCCTCCCTCAAGCACGCACTCCCCTGTTCTTCTGCCTCCCTCAAGCACGCACTCCCCTGTTCTTCTGCCTCCCTCAAGCACGCACTCCCCTGTTCTTCTGCTTTCACCCCTACAAGCACGCACGCACTCAGGTCTTCTCTTCTGCCTCCCTCCATATATAGCAGCTCCTCCATTATTGAAGTATATGTAGCAGCTCCTCCATTGTTATAGCGCTCCTCATTGCTAGGTAAGTCGTAATAGCGCTCCTCCATTGTTATGGTTTTGAAGAATTGGTCTTTAAATTAGTTAATATTGACAATGCAAGTTGCTTGTAATTGTTAGGGTTTGTCAAGAATTGGTCTTTTGTGTTAGCATGAATTGGGTCTGTGATGTTGGAACTTGAATAGAGTTATTTATAGTTAGAAGTTCCTTGGTATTGAAAAGATGATATACCCTTGTATCTTATTACTATAATTTGACAGATGTTTGTGATGATACCGTGTCTGTCAAACTGGCTTCGAATGAATTGAATGAAATTTTAGCAATGCACCAACTGCCCTCAACCTTGTTGCTGCTTTCATTGCTGAATTTCAGCCAAAGACATGGATAGAAAACAGTTGTTATTGTATTTAGTACAAGCTACATTTACCTATATTTCTAAATTGTTATGAGAACTTTATTTATCATCACTAATAAAGTTGAGAATTTTATTTTGTTTATAGGATAATTTAGTCCTTTTTATTTAAGAGAACAAAGTTGAGAGTTTAGGGTTTAGGGTTTAGGGTTTAGAGTTTAGGGTTTAGGGTTAAGGGTTTAGGGTTTAGGGTTAAGGGTTAAGGGTTTAGGGTTTAGGGTTTAGGGTTTAGGGTTTAGGGTTTGAATACGCTTTTCTTTATGAGTTGCTTCTCACTATATATATGCGTGTTTCAGGCTAAGAAATGGGTGTCAAGGGCTTCTAGGGTAAGATCATCAGTTTGGAGAGTGGGCGGAAAACATCCTGGTATGGTATCTTACTTTGACTGTCCTTGTTCTTGCATTGCTCACTAACATCATTCTTATCTTTTCCCTAAATCTGGTTTTCTATTTGTGTTCTATATAGGTTACACTGAACAAGATTATCAGGAATTTTTGGGCGAAGCATAGACCTTGGCATTGACCTTCTATTTGAGAGTGTTGAGCCTTTATAGGTACTCAGGTATATATATATATAACTTTATGTGCTTTAAATAAGTTCTTGGTTGCACAATTTTGTGGAGATGGTGTGTGATATAACTTTGGTGCATCTTCTATCATGATGTGTGATTAAAGTGGTGGTTTTTAACTGATTGCATGTATCATCATATGCCTAGATACCCGTTCAAGGCTTTCTCATTAGGAGAAAGTCTTGAATAGTCCCCGGTTAGGACTGTTCTTGAACGTTTACTCTCACTTAGGTGGTGAATGTATGTCAGTTTTTCGATTTTAAGGAACATCTTGGCTTAGCATTTCCTCGATCACCATGTTCTCTGGGTACATATGTGGGTAAGTAATTACCTACGTCGTGTACTTGGAGAACTGGGGGAAATGCTGCCGGATTTTCCTTAAAATTGGAAATCTGATATACATTCACTAGTGAGAGTAAACGTTCAAGGATGGGTTAGGTTGGAGTGATAAGGACCCTTTGGAAGCATATATGCATTTTTGTATCTATATGAATGTTATATGCATGTTGTGTGTTTGAATTTGATTTGTATATATAATAGATGTAGCAATTATACATTATTCGTAATATGTTGCCATGCCTTAGAGACAATTTACTTAATGGAGAGGGATCGTGGATGGATGTATGGTAGACGTGATACATTGGAATTCTTTAATGGGGTTCAAGAGTTCTGCGAGACGGCTTCATCTTATCAGCGCAGAATGGGTTTCGAGTGCCTTTATTGTCCTTGTGTTGATTGTAATAATATGAAGGTGGTCAATAGTGTTGATATCATTAGAGATCATGTAGTTTGTCGTGGGTTTAGGGTTAAATATCATGTGTGGATTTGGCATGGTGAAGAAGGAGAGTACAGTGGGGATGTTATTGGGTATGATGTGCATGATGATAGAAGAAATGATATCCGTGGGGACGAGGAATACAAGAATGATGAACATATTGATGATGATGGTGCTGAGGAGGGATTTGAGGATGATCCCGTGGACGAGGTTGAGGATGAAGGTGTGGATGAGATGATGCGTGGTTTTGAAGGTGACGTGTTTGAGTCATTATCGGAGGCTTCTAAAAAGCCTTTGTATCCTGGGTGCAAAAAATACTCCAAACTATCAGCCGTGCTAACTCTTTTTAACATTAAGTCGAAGCATGGGTGGACGGACAATAGTTTTACTTCCTTGTTGAGCGTGTTAAGTGAGATGTTGCCAGATGGGAATGAAATTCCTAAGTCTTACTATTACGCTAAGAAGCTCATGTGTCCATTTGGTTTGGAGTATAAGAAGATACATGCATGTCCTAATGATTGTATTCTTTACCGAAATGAATATGAAAAATTGGAGGAGTGTCCAAGATGCAAGAAGTCGCGCTACAAGCGCAAGAGTTGCAACGCTGGTACGAAGGGACCTCCTGCTAAGGTGTTGTGGTATCTTCCCATAATTCCTAGGTTTAAGCGTTTGTTCTCTTTACCAAAAGACGCTAAAAACTTGAGGTGGCATGCAGAGGGAAGAAAGAAAAACAGAATGCTGAAGCACCCAGCCGACTCCCCGCAATGGAAGAACCTTGATATGAAGTTTGGGGAATTTGGTGATGAAGTCAGAAATTTAAGGCTTGGTTTGTGCACGGACGGGATGAATCCATTTGGCACTCTTAGTACCCAGCACAGCACATGGCCGGTACTTTTAGTGATCTACAATTTGCCTCCTTGGTTGTGCATGAAACGGAAATATGTAATGCTTTCACTCTTGATATCGGGGCCAAGGCAACCTGGAAATGACATTGATGTGTATCTTGCGCCATTGGTTGATGATTTGAGAAAGATGTGGGACGAAGGGGTTTCCGTGTTTGATGCTCATAAGAATGAGATGTTCACATTGCGTGCAGCTCTTATGTGGACCGTTAATGATTTTCCTGCATATGGCAACTTGTCTGGGTATAAGAATAAAGGGAAGAAGGCATGTCCCATTTGTATTGATGATACGCCAAGCAGACGCCTTGATCATTCTTTCAAAGAGGTGTATTTGAGGACAAGAAGGTTGCTCAGGCGCGATCACCCGTACCGTCGGCAGAAAAAGGCTTTCGATGGGACGGTGGAGGAGGGGACTGCTCCTAGGCCACTGACTGGTGAGGAGGTTTACGCTCGGGTCAAGGGTGTACGAACAGTATTTGGGAAATATGAAAAAGCGGCGGAATCAGTTGCTCTCTTTAAAAAAGAATCAATCTTTTGGTTGCTCCCGTACTGGAAAGAACATGACGTTAGGCACTGTCTTGATGTAATGCATATAGAGAAGAATGTGTGTGACGCTCTTGTGGGAGCGCTTATGAATATTCAAAACAAGACAAAGGACGGAAAGGGTGCACGTTTAGATTTGGAAAAGATGGGGGTGCGTCCAGAATTGTGGGTTCAGCAAAGGGTTAGTAAGGGAAAGGAACAGGAAAAGGAAAAAGAAATGGGTTCGAAAAAGGGAAAGGGGAAGAGCAAGGGAAAGGGAAAGGCCGCGGATGCGTCGAAGAAGAAAAATGTGGGAAAAGCCAAAGAGGGGAAGGCCTATTTACCTTCGGCTTGCTACACATTGTCAAGGGTAGAAAAGCGGAGTTTTTTTGAAAGTCTGTATGGCATTAAGGTTCCATCAGGGTACGCATCTAACATGAAAAGATTTGTATCCTTAAATGGAGAATTGAAGCTGACAAGTATGAAATCCCATGATTGTCATGTTCTGATGCAAGTTTTTCTACCAATTGCAATACGTGGTATTTTGCCAAAGCACGTGAGGGAAGCTATTACAAGCCTCTGTTCGTTTTTCAATAAAATATGTAGCAAAGTGTTTGATCCTTGTACCCTTGATGCTTTACAGGCGGATGTGGTTGTGACTTTGTGCAAATTTGAGATGTACTTCCCGCCCTCGTTTTTCGACATAATGGTGCATTTGATTCTTCATTTGGTGCGTGAGATTAAGTTGTGCGGTCCAGTGTTCTTGAGGTGGTGCTATCCTTTTGAAAGACACATGGGTACATTGCAAGATAAAGTTAGAAATCGGGCTCACCCGGAAGGAAGTATGATTCAAGGGACCGTGGCCGAGGAGATTGGTAATTTTGTGGCCGACTATATAGCCGTTGCTGAACCTATTGGTATTCCTACTTCTCGACATGAAGGTAGACTTGATGGTCATGGCACAATCGGGTCGAAACGAATGTCACCTGATCGAGAGAAGTTCTTACAAGCACACCTATATGTGTTGCACCATGTTGCAGATGTTCACCCATATTTAGACGAGCACATGGCTAGTTTGCGTGATGATTTTTCGTCGAAAGGTGAAAGGGCACTGACGCAGTTTCACAATAAGAAGTTTGTAAGTTGGTTTCGTGATCGAGTGATGGGTGGAATGGATGAGAGTGTCACAGCTACAGTAAGGTGGCTTGCTTATGGTCCTACGGATGATGTTCGCTCATTTGAGGGATATGACATAAATGGGTACACATTTTGGACTGAGCGTCAAGATTTGAAATCGTCCTCGACCCAAAACAGTGGTGTAACGGTTGTGGCATCGTCAAGGGAGTTTGCAAGTGCTAAGGATAAATCACCCGTTGATGCAGAGTTGTCATACTACGGTCGAATTCAAGAAATATGGGAGCTTGATTATTGTGACTTCACGATTGCTCTTTTCCGGTGTAAGTGGGTTGATAATATCAGGCGTAACGTCAAATTTGATGACTTTACTCTTGTAGATCTTGGCAACCTGAATGATAGTGCGGAACCGTTCATCCTTGCATCTCAAGCTAAGCAGATGTTTTACGTATCTGACCCTGCCGACTCAAAATGGTCTATTGTGCTAGCCGGCAAAAGAAGAACCCTTGGCGTTGGAGATGTCGAGGATGAGGAAGAATATGATGCCTTTGATGACTCGGCACCTTTCACCGTTCCTAGACCTGCTGTGCCAAATGAGATAGACGACCAAGCCAATTATGCTAGATCCGACCAAGCCAATTATGCTAGATCCGACCACGATGAAGGAATATTAAATTGAGGTATTGTATATTTTCTGTTAGTTTGAATTTCAGGCATAGAAAGAATAAAAAAATCACATTTTAGGTGAAAATGTGAAATTGTTGAATTACTTGCCCATTTTTCTTATATTCTTTTAAATGAATAAAGTAACTTGCATCACCATTTTCAGAGTTTATTTGTATTATAATTCAGCAATTTATATATGATTATAAGTTTACCTTACAATTCAGCAGCTAATAACGTGTTATGTTTGTAATGACAGGTTTTAACATCTAAAGGCGGACGATCGATTCCGTGTTCGAGTTGAGGATGTTGAATCTAACTCAGATGATTCATCTAATGATGGGGACCAGCCGTATGATGTGAACAAGGAAACTGATTTGGGTGAGCCAGAAGATCAGGCGCAAGATGTATTGGAGAGAATGATAGATGACTTTGAAATTGCAGCTGAGCAAGCGCCTCCAATCGATAATGCCATTGTGGAGCCATTTCGTGAGGATCAAAGTGGAGCGGGGGTGCAGGCACCAGCGAAGAAAAAGCAGAGGGGTCCGACGACAGCTTTCAAGAAACCTGTCGGTCCTATGGTCTTGGAGTATGACAGGGTAGGGCAACCCTCAGGTAAATGGCGTCGTCAGTATGCTGGTCAAGTTGGGATTTGTGCGCGCAAAATCCCCATTACGCTTCGTATGAGCGACGTACCTACAGGCTTGATTGACACGTTTTGGAATGATACCAGGGTAAGTTTGATTTGATGTGATTATTTATAAACAATTTCAATTTATTATTATGTTATGGGCAAACCAATAATGTTTGTTATTTGTGCTTGCAGAGTCTATTTAACATTCCAAATGAGTACGCCAAGCGAAGGGTGTTTGAGTCCTTACTTGCGGCAAGATTCAGAAGCTTCAAGTGTAACTTAGTTCGTCGGTTTGTAACAAAGAAACTTGTGAGGAAACCAAAGAACAAGAAAGGAGGTGGCAGTGATGATGATGTCATCGATGAAGAGAAACTCCCTTGGCAAATATGGCCTAGCATATTGAAGGATGATTGGGAGGCTTTCGTTCATCAAAAATGTAAAAAAGAAGAAATTGTAAGTTTAAAGAACTCTGATGAAAATTGTGTTGTAATTTATCGTCTTTTTTATTAGTAATGAAACTAACATATATATCTTTTTATGTAGGAAATGAGGGAGCGGAATTCCAGGAATGCATTGCAAAAGCAATACCACCATCATATGGGAGCAATGACGTATGATGAATGGAGGGATACGTGGGTGAGTGAAGGAGTATACCCCACTGCGCTTCTAGGGTCCTCCACAGCGCTGTCTGACTCCACGACCAGTACTTTGGTGAGTCGTGCTGGGGATTTCTTTTGCTCTATGCATTCGCGGGACAAGAAGACCGGAAAATGGTCCATCAAGGCTCTGGAAACCAAAGAAATGACAGATAAGCTAGTAAGCAACTATGAACAAGTGAACTAACTTATTCATTTGCATGTATATCACTTTATATAAACATTGACTTCATGTTGCCATTTTGTTTTTGCTACAGCTTGAGTACACTGGAGAGCTTGTTGAAGGAAAGCTCGTCCCGACGGTAGAGAAGGACCCCTTCACCTTGGCTATGGGAAAGCCCTACCATCCGGGACGGGTATTAGGTGCTGGGGGGAGCTTGCTAGGATGGGAGAAGGTAATGGGTCCCGAATATACCAAATCTGGAAGATCCCGAGAAAGTGTGAACTCACCATAGAACTTCGATGCCACAGTGGCATCAATTAAAGAGCAAGTGCGCAATGAGATGCGCGAAGAGTTCAATGCATGGGCGAAGCAAATGAATTTGCCGACCTTGCCCTTTTCCTCGACAACACCGGCCGACGCAAGTAGCCACCCACGAAGAGAAGGAGAACAGGAGGTAAATGATTAGAATTCAACTCTATAAGTTTTGATATGCTGAGTTACGTGGGTACGGTTCTAATTAATGTTTCACTATCAATACACTACTGCAGATTGATACTCCTTCACATGCGAACTCAAGGGGGCTTGATACTCCGACACCTCATCACTTTCCTATTCTAAAGGTGATTTTGTGATTACTTGTTTGGATAATGATATTTGTTTTTGGATTGTGTTGTGAAATGGTTAAGTTGTCTGTAAAATGGTCGAGTTCGCTGTGTTGTGTTGTCAGTATGCTTTGTTGATGTCATGTGTTGTTGTTGTTTGCTCTTCCTTCTCATTCTCCTCATTCTCCTCTTCCTTCTCCTTCTCCTTCTCTTTCTCCTTCTCCTTCTCCTCCTCCTCCTTCTCTTTCTTCTCCTTCTCCTTCTCTTTCTCCTTCTCCTTCTCTTTTTCCTTCTCCTTCTCCTTCTCTTTTTCCTTCTCCTTCTCCTTCTCTTTTTCCTTCTCCTTCTCCTTCTCTTTCTCATTGGGAAGCGGAGAAGGTAGGAGAGGCTGCCGGAGAGGCTGCAGCAGCTGTGCAGCAGCTATGCAGCAGCTGTGCAGTGCTGTACAGGCTCGCAGCAGCTGTGCAGCCTGCAGCTGTTGCCCTTCGCGCTCGGTTTTTTTTTTTTTTTTTTGCACTCGTTTAGTTTTTTTTTTCTTTTTTTTTAACTAGCACCTAAGATACTTAGTGATGAATATGTATGGCTTGAAACAACCTTAAAAAAGCAATTTCACAAGTTTGAGGTTCATTTACAGTATTTACGGCTCGAAATGGCCTAAATGAGTTCTAACTTGCCCATTTTTCGTGATTTTAGCTCAATGCTTGATTTAACTCCTATATTACACCTAAGATACTTAGTTATGATGATTTATGGCTTGAAACGACCTAAAAAAAAGCAATTCCACAAGTTTTAGGTTCATTTACAGTATTTACGGCTCGAAATGCCCTAAATGAGTTCTAACTTGCCCATTTTTCGTGATTTTAGCTCAATGCTTGATTTAACTCCTATATTACACCTTAGATACTTAGTTATGAATATTTATGGCTTGAAACGACCTAAAAAAAGCAATTCCACAAGTTTTAGGTTCATTTACAGTATTTACGGCTCGAAATGGCCTAAATGAGTTCTAACTTGCCCATTTTTCGTGATTTTAGCTCAATGCTTGATTTAACTCCTATATTATACCTAAGATACTTAGTTGTGAATATTTATGGCTTGAAACGACCTAAAAAAAGCAATTCCACAAGTTTTAGGTTCATTTACAGTATTTACGGCTCGAAATGCCCTAAATGAGTTCTAACTTGCCCATTTTTCGTGATTTTAGCTCAATGCTTGATTTAACTCCTATATTACACCTAAGATACTTAGTTATGAATATGTAAATGAAGTATCTTCGTAATTGGTGCAGGAAGAGACCCGTTGAGAACTTCTTCACTCGGGCGAATCATATGATGGACCTTTGCATGTTGTCGCCTATGGTAGTGCACAACCGACCGAACAAGTTACGGTCCATGGCCGACCTCTTCTGCCTGAGCATTATTCTGTCGGGATCCATTATGTGGTTCCCAGGTCCGAGGACCTCTTAGTACCTGTGCCCGTGGAGGAGGATGAGTTCACTACACTATGGGCAGCAAAAGGTAGTTTTGTGCAATGGCCATCTGTTTGGATACGGTTGATGAACCAGGTAATTAAGATTTAGATTTCACGCTTTAATCCTTTCTTCCCAAGAGTTGGATGGAATCTTTTCTAACCATTTGTGTGATCATACTTATTAGCCATCGAGGAAAAGCCAAACGCCAAAGAAGAGGGTGGAGGGGCCAAAGAACATAAGTGAACATGGCTCGGTGAGTGGAAAGGCGTCGATGAAGAGCCCTTCACGAGGTTCAGCTACGCAAGCTACTCCATTAGTTGAAGACACGGTGCTTCAATCGCTATCTCAGGAGTTAGCTTATTTGCACAACCGTGTTTGCGTGTTGCCTAATGACAGCCCCATCCAAATCCAACTTCCTAAGGAAATGTACTACGATGACGATGCAACGGCATGGCTATTCAAAGAAGATGTGAAGGAATTTCTAAGTGGTGCAATGCTTAACATTTCCTTCATTCAAATATCCATGAGGTAATTCAACTGGTACTCAATTTATGTTATTCAGTTTAGTGGTGTTTGTCGTTTGGTTTTCGATTAACATTGTGTTATCATGCATGCAGAGCACTCCAGGAGCAAATATGGTTTTGGCTACTAGGATGCCTATTTTCTATATTTGCTCCTGGAGTGCTCTGCATGCATGATAACACAATGTTAATCGAAAACCAAACGACAAACACCACTAAACTGAATAACATAAATTGAGTACCAGTTGAATTACCTCATGGATATTTGAATGAGGGAAATGTTAAGCATTGCACCACTTAGAAATTCCTTCACATCTTCTTTGAATAGCCATGCCGTTGCATCGTCATTGTAGTGGAACATTTCCTTAGGAAGTTGGATTTGGATGGGGCTGTCATTAGGCAACACGCAAACACGGTTGTGCAAATAAGCTAACTCCTGAGATAGCGATTGAAGCACTGTGTCTTCAACTAATGGAGTAGCTTGCGTAGCTGAACCTCGTGAAGGGCTCTTCATCGACGCCTTTCCACTCACCGAGCCATGTTCACTTATGTTCTTTGGCCCCTCCACCCTCTTCTTTGGCGTTTGGCTTTTCCTCGATGGCTAATAAGTATGATCACACAAATGGTTAGAAAAGATTCCATCCAACTCTTGGGAAGAAAGGATTAAAGCGTGAAATCTAAATCTTAATTACCTGGTTCATCAACCGTATCCAAACAGATGGCCATTGCACAAAACTACCTTTTGCTGCCCATAGTGTAGTGAACTCATCCTCCTCCACGGGCACAGGTACTAAGAGGTCCTCGGACCTGGGAACCACATAATGGATCCCGACAGAATAATGCTCAGGCAGAAGAGGTCGGCCATGGACCGTAACTTGTTCGGTCGGTTGTGCACTACCATAGGCGACAACATGCAAAGGTCCATCATATGATTCGCCCGAGTGAAGAAGTTCTCAACGGGTCTCTTCCTGCACCAATTACGAAGATACTTCATTTACATATTCATAACTAAGTATCTTAGGTGTAATATAGGAGTTAAATCAAGCATTGAGCTAAAATCACGAAAAATGGGCAAGTTAGAACTCATTTAGGGCATTTCGAGCCGTAAATACTGTAAATGAACCTAAAACTTGTGGAATTGCTTTTTTTAGGTCGTTTCAAGCCATAAATATTCATAACTAAGTATCTTAGGTGTAATATAGGAGTTAAATCAAGCATTGAGCTAAAATCACGAAAAATGGGCAAGTTAGAACTCATTTAGGGCATTTCGAGCCGTAAATACTGTAAATGAACCTAAAACTTGTGGAATTGCTTTTTTAGGTCGTTTCAAGCCTTAAATCATCATAACTAAGTATCTTAGGTGTAATATAGGAGTTAAATCAAGCATTGAGCTAAAATCACGAAAAATGGGCAAGTTAGAACTCATTTAGGGCATTTCGAGCCGTAAATACTGTAAATGAACCTAAAATTTGTGGAATTGCTTTTTTTAGGTCGTTTCAAGCCATAAATATTCATAACTAAGTATCTTAGGTGTAATATAGGAGTTAAATCAATAATTGAGCTAAAATCACGAAAAATGGGCAAGTTAGAACTCATTTAGGCCATTTCGAGCCGTAAATACTGTAAATGAACCTAAAACTTGTGGAATTGCTTTTTTTAGGTCGTTTCAAGCCATAAATATTCACAACTAAGTATCTTAGGTGTAATATAGGAGTTAAATCAAGCATTGAGCTAAAATCACGAAAAATGGGCAAGTTAGAACTCATTTAGGCCATTTCGAGCCGTAAATACTGTAAATGAACCTAAAACTTGTGGAATTGCTTTTTTTAGGTCGTTTCAAGCCATAAATATTCATAACTAAGTATCTAAGGTGTAATATAGGAGTTAAATCAAGCATTGAGCTAAAATCACGAAAAATGGGCAAGTTAGAACTCATTTAGGCCATTTCGAGCCGTAAATACTGTAAATGAACCTAAAACTTGTGGAATTGCTTTTTTTAGGTCGTTTCAAGCCATAAATATTCATAAATAAGTATCTTAGGTTTAATATAGGAGTTAAATCAATAATTGAGCTAAAATCATGAAAATGGGCAAGTTAGAACTCATTTAGGGCATTTCGAGCCGTAAATACTGTAAATGAACCTCAAACTTGTGAAATTGCTTTCTTAAGGTTGTTTCAAGCCATACATATTCATCACTAAGTATCTTAGGTGCTAGTTACAAAAAAGAAAAAAAAAAACAAAACGAGTGCAAAAAAAAAAATAAAAAATAAAAACCCGAGCGCGAAGGCAGCAGCTGCAGGCTGCACAGCTGCTGCGAGCCTGCACAGCACTGCACAGCTGCTGCAGCCTCTCCGGCAGCCCCTCCGGCAGCCTCTCCTACCTTCTCCGCTTCCCAATGAGAAAGAGAAGGAGAAGGAGAAGGAAAAAGAGAAGGAGAAGGAGAAGGAAAAAGAGAAGGAGAAGGAGAAGAAAGAGAAGGAGGAGGAGGAGAAGGAGAAGGAGAAAGAGAAGGAGAAGGAGAAGAAAGCAAAGGAGGAGGAGGAGAAGGAGAAGGAGAAGGAGAAAGAGAAGGAGAAGGAGAAGAAAGAGAAGGAGGAGGAGGAGGAGAAGGAGAAGGAGAAGGAGAAGGAGAAAGAGAAGGAGAAGGAGAAGGAAGAGGAGAATGAGAAGGAAGAGCAAACAACAACAACACATGACATCAACAAAGCATACTGACAACACAACACAGCGAACTCGACCAT